ACTCTAAAGACATACCTATTTTAATTTAACCAGTTTTTATTTACCAGCGATTACCCCGGATCATGTGAACTCAAAAAACATTTGAGTTAGTTACTGTATTTCTGAGTTTTAGGAATACTTAATTGATAACTATTTATTTTTAAACCAATTAAATAAGATCTCTTTTAGAAATTAATTTTAGCATTTCCATCCAGAGGTAGAGAAAGAAAAAAATCACATATATATAACGTGCATGCATAGATATACATAAATGGGCAGACAGACACAGACACTCTATAGCTTCTGTTCCAAAATGTTAGCTATGAATCACATACAACAATATAAAACTCATTAGTTTATAATAACAGTTGAATCCAAGTTGGCAGATGGAACAATTTAAGGTTACCTGCTCCAATGGCTAAAGCTTCTTACTAATATTTGTGGAGAAGACTTTTAAGATTTGTATTTGTCCTTGACAAGTAATTTCCTGGGGTGTTTATATTTCAAAGACATTTTAAGATTTACATCTTCAAGGGACAGAGAAAGAATCTAAGTTTTCTTCTTGGAGTTTTAGTGCCTTTTGGATGGTTTTGGCAGTCCCAATAAAATGTGGTAGTGCTGCCCTGTAATTAGGGGAGTACCTTCTAAAAATAATCCTCTGGACTCCAGGTCAGAGTGGGCTTTTTCAGGGTTGAAAATGAAAAGGGGTGGATCACTGTGGTGATTGGCATAGTGTATTGGGTCACTGGCACAGTGATATTGGATCACTGTGGTCACAGAAATGATAAACCTATTGAACCATGCCAATTTTGCGCAGCAGGAGACGGGCTTCATCTTAATGTTTTCCATTCATTGTGAGCCTTACCAGTAGTCACTGTGATGGAAGAATGGTCATGCTGCCAGGCACTAAACATCCAAGTGAGGAGAGGAAGTCCCCTGGTACGAATATCAGTGGCTCTAAGGGCCTTTGCCTTCCCATTTCCCTCTTGCTCCTCACAAGAGATTGGTAACCTTGTCACCTTTTCCCTTGGGGGCAGGGACACCCATGACTCATACTTCTAATTCTGCCCCATACAGGGGAAAGTCCAGGGGCCTCGGGATCTGTAATATCTCAGAGGAAATGAGCTCAAATGAATCTTTAAGAAAGTTACGGCTTTTAGTGTCTTTAGAGATACCAGCCAGTTGACACATTTTGGCAGCTGTAAATATCAATTCAGAGACTGTCTTGTTCCAACCAAACAAGAAAATCCAAGAAATCCACAATAGCCAATTAGTTTCCCTCTCTCTTTCCCCATGCATAAAATCTTTAAATAATATTTTAATTTCAGTTAAGGTACAGTTTTTGATCTCAGTTTCCACTTCCTGTTTTTATCCTGTTACCTTAATCTTATGTGCTGTTACCAGAAATTTTTGGATGATGTCACTGTGAGCCCTCTTTGTGGGTGGCTGCTTTCCTTTCCACGGGGTATCCCAAGAGACCTCGCCAGGATTGGGTCTGCCTCCACTAACGGGAGATATGCATATAGTCTTTGGGAAAAGCCCCCAGGCCCCTGGAGTGTAATTCCAGAGTTTTGGCATGTTGGTATGCATGGCTTTAAATAACACCCAGGAGGCACTTCCCTGGTGGTCCAGCGGTTAAAACGCCACGCTCCCAATTCAGGGGGCCTGGGTTCGATCCCTGGTCAGGGAACTAGATCCCACATGCCTGCAACTAAAGATCCTGCATGCTGCAACTAAAAGATCCCGCATGCCACAACTAAGACCCAGCACAGCCAAATAAATAAATAAATATTCAAATAAATAAATAACACCCAGGAAGCATCTGTGGGGTTTTGCATTTGTCAAGGAGCTGGTGTACCCCATCAGGGTTCTTAGGAGACACTGGCACCAGATGTTTAGGACATTTATATTTGTCTATTAATTTTTTTAGTAACACTGATGCCAAAAGGTCAGCCTCTGTGCACCTGTGCCAAATCAAATCTCTCAGAGACAACAGTTTTAAAGGAAGTAGAAAAGAATAGCTTTATTGCTTTGCCAGGCAAAGAGTACACAGTGGGCTCCTGCCCTGAAAAACTGTATGTCCCTAACCCGGGAGGATTTGATGAGGAGTTTTATAGCAACCGTTCAAGTGTGGAGTTGCTGATAAGATTAGGGTGGGTGCAGAGCCTGCACTCCTTTAATCTCATCTCAGGTGGTCTCAATCTTTTTTTGTTTGTTTTATTTTTGGCTGAGTTGGATCTTTGTTGCTGCACATGGCTTTCTCTAGTTGCAGTGAGAGGGGGCTACTCTTTGTTGCGGTGCGCTGGCTTCTCATTGCAGTGGCTTCTCTTGTTGCGGAGCACGGGCTCTAGGTGCACGGGCTTCAGTAGTTGTGGCTTGCGGGCTCTAGAGCGCAGGCTCAGTACTTGTGGCTCGCGGGATCTAGAGTGCAGGCTCAGTAGTTGTGGCGCATGGGCTTAGTTGCTCTGCGGCGAGTGGGGTCTTCCTGGACCAGGGCTCCAACCTGTGTCCCCTGCATTGGCAGGCGGATCCTTAACCACTGCGCTTAACCACTGTCTCCTAATCTTGATGAGTTTCTCTGGTCCCTTTAATCTCGCCTCAGGTGGCTTCTTGGCTGCTTCTCCCTTGATTAGCCACTGTTTGAATCTCCCTTTTGGAACTCAGGGAAGGTCATGGATGCTGGAGTCTGTTCCCTACAAATAAGAAACGGGGGACAGAAAGGCTTCCATGCCCAGGAGCCCCACAGGGTCCTGCTCAGTTGCAACATCACACCAGGGATTGGATCCATAATATTCCATCAGTTCAGGGGACCAAGTAGTGAGTGAAGTGGTGACACAGAGACTGTAAGCCTCTGTCATATTTTCCCTCTGGTGTTGCCACTGGTTTCTGGCTGCAAGGCTATTTCATTCTTCTTGGTTAGGACACATAGTCCTACATAGCACAACCTACTGACAGTGGTAGCAGTAAGAGATCTCCTATCCTCTTCCCCTAAGGGAATGTTTTTCTCATACCTTTAGCCTCTCCTTGAGTAGTGACAATAGCCTTGCAATTCAAGGCTCCTTAGCTCTCCTTGGCCTTGAGGCATGGAGGACCCTTAGGCAATAGTCAATTACGCCCTTTATAATTAGTGGCCTACTCTTCTCATTAGACCATTTAGTCTTTATCACACCACTCTGGGCAGATCCTTGGATTATTATGGCAGCTGTGACCTTTTGGGTTGGATACCACAGGCAACACACCACTGAGAATCATGTGAAAGCACACCGTAGCGCAACAGGCCCCCAGCAAGGGGTGCTCCTTCCTCAGATGGTGTTACCCACCCGAGTTAGGTGGTTAGTAAGCAAGTTACAGGTAAAAAGGGCATTCCCCTTGTTTAATTGCAAGGGCAATCATGCAATCCTGCCCACTATGCCAATTGTTTTGTGCCTGTCTCTGCCTGTCAAAAAGCAATGTTATGGCTGGACTGGCCCTTAAAGTTCTTATTATGATTGCAAGATATCTTGCAGCAATAAGCATCAGGAAACTTTGAAAGAATAAAGGTTCATTTACAGGACCCGGAAATTACACAGCGTACCTGTGGCCATAGAGCAAGGTTGCCATAGAGAGAGGAAGAAAGAATGTGTGGGCTTGGGGTTCTGCTTTTATTGGCGTTGAGGGTGGGGACCTAGGGTTTCAGTCTCTCTTCATTGATGAATTTAAAATATTTGATGGGCTTCCCTGGAGGCACAGTGGTTAAGAATCCGCCTGCCAACGCAGGGGACAAGGGTTCGAGCCCTGGTCCAGGAAAATCCCACATGTCACGGAGCGACTAGGCCCGTGCGCCACAACTACTGAGCCTGCGTGCCACAATTACTGAAGCCCGCGCACCTACAGCCCATGCTCCGCAACAAGAGAAGCCACCACAATGAGAAGCCGGTGCACCACGACGAAAAGTAGGCCCCGTTTGCTGCAACTAGAGAAAGCCCGCGCGCAGCAACGAAGACCCAACACATCCATAAATAAATAAATAAATGTATTAAAAAAACAAAAAAAAAACATATGAGCAGGAATTTAAAGTATGGGAAGGGAAAAAACAAGTGGCCCAGCCGTAAAAAGAAACGAAATTGAATTATTTGTAGTGAGGTGGATGGACCTAGAGTCTGTCATACAGAGTGAAGTCAGAAAGAGAAAGACAAATACTGTATGCTAACACATATATATGGAATCTAAAAAAAAAAATGTCATGAAGAACCTAGGGGTAAGACGGGAGTAAAGACACAGACCTACTAGAGAATGGACTTGAGGATATGGGGAGGGGGAAGGGTAAGCTGTGACAAACTGAGAGAGTGGCATGGACATATATACACTACCAAACATAAACTAGATAGCTACTGGGAAGCAGCCACATAGCACAGGGAAATCAGCTCAGTGCTTTGTGACCACCTAGAGGGATGGTATAGGGAGGGTGGGAGGGAGGGAGAAGCAAGAGGGAAGAGATATGGGGACATATGTATATGTATAACTGATTCACTTTGTTATAAAGCAGAAACTAACACACCATTGTAAAGCAATTATACTCCAATAATGATGTTAAAAAAAAAAACAAGTGGCCCAAATGGTCAGTTACTGAGATCAACCAATACCTCTAAAACAAAGGAGCCTTAGTTCCAGGAGGCAGCCTGACTCTTTATCTAGTGATTTGTTCATTCAAGATATCCTTTGATGTGGCTGCCTCAGTAATCAAAGCTTAAGACAGGCACTTTCATTACAAAAAAAAGAACCTAACAGTCAGTTTATACTACAAGGGAGAAGTATTCCAGTCAGAGGGAACAGTAAGTCCAAAGGCCCTGAGGCAGGAATATACTCAGTGCCTTCTAAGAACAAACAGCAAGGAAGCCAGTGGGACTGGTGAGCAGGGAGCAGGGCACACGGTATAGGAGTGTGTGGTCTGGACCAGAATCTAGAAGGCCGCATTAGTCAGACTGGGTACGAATTTGGGATTTTACTCTGAATGCAATGGAAACTTTTTTTTTTTTTTTCAGTTCAGCATCTGATCTAGGAACAGATTCTAGGGACAAGGGAAAGCAAGCAAAGAACATGAAGGTCTATTTTGAACAGCACAAGCTCAAGGCAACCATGACTTGAAGCAGGGGGTAAGCGGTGGCAGAGGGGGTGGTGAAAGGGTGGGAATCTGGATGTAGTTTGAAGGGAGTGCTAATGAGATTTGCTGATGGATTGGATACTGGGTGGGAGAAAGGGAGGAATTAGGATGACTCCAAGGGTTCTTGGGCTGAGAAATCGGAAGAGTGTGTGGCCATTTGCTGAGATGAGGAAGGCTATGAGTGGAGTAGGGCTGGAGGGGGATGGGGAAAAAAGAATTTTGGAATTGAGGGAAGTAGTGGATTCATGAGATACTTAGTGAATAAAATCTCTAGGGCCTGGGGACTTTTGGGGTGTAGGGAGAGAGGGAGAGGTCAGGGACAAAAATGAGTCTCAGGTTTCTGGCTTATGGACTGGGAGATGTTGGCACCATTTTCTGAGACAGAAGATGGGAAAGGTGCTGGCTGGTACTGCAGCAGGAAATCTGGGTAGCAGCTGCTGGAAGTGATGCTGATTCCAGCCTGGAATATTCCGCCACTTCCATATTGCTCTCTGCCTCCTTCCTTTGGAAATCTGTTTAAATGTCTGCTTATTAGCGAACCTTTTCCTGACCACCTTCTCTCGAATATGGTTGCCATCCTCACCCCTGTGTGCTCCGTTGCCAAAACAGTACCAAGTATCTAGTCAGTGCTCAGGAAATATTTGTAGTCTAAATGAATGGTGAATGCCAAGTAGGGGCTGGGATGATCGCTGGGGCCCCTCTGATTAATTTGAGACTGTCACCAGTTTGGATTCAGTGCATCTTGGTGAAACTGCCCTGGCCCTGGAGGCTGAGAGCAGAAAGGACAGTGGCAGAGGAGATCCGGGAGCTGGAGTGAGGAGGAAGGGGTAGAGCCTCAATATCTCCACCTGTAAAATAGAAATGTAAAATGAAGTGTGACTTCCATAAGGGGCTGTGAGTGAGGATTGGATGTGGGAGAAATATTTGGATTAAGGTTCCTGGAGTGCAGGGTAGGGGGTGCAGGCAGGGATAGTGTGAGACAGTAAATGTTTGCAATTTAGTAATAAAGGGTGTTTTTTTGTGAAAGGTTGGTTGTCATTGGGGTGGGAGGAGGCTGGCCTGCCTGGAAAAGCCCAGGAAATGGAAGGGAAGGGCAGAGCACAGGTTAGGGGGCAGTTAGGTCCTGGGGCTGTAACTACCCGTGACAAGATTGGGGCAATTTGTGAGCTGGGGTGGTGAAGCAGTCTGGAACTCACTCCCTGGTCTCCATCCAACACTCCTGGCTCCATGAGAGCCCTCCTCCAGGGGGAGGCTGGAGGGAGGGAGGGCAGGGCAGACTGAGGCTATTATCTTCTGAAGAAGAGATTGATGCCCAAGTGGGAGAAGGATGGTACTAGTGCCCATGTCCTAATCCCCAGAACCTGTGAATGTTACTTTGTATGGCAAAAGGGACTTTGCAGATGTGATTAAGGTACAGATCTTGAGATAGGGAGATTATTCTGGATTATCTGAATGGGCCGATATCATCACAAGGATCCTTATAAGAGGAAGGCAGGAGATCAGAGAGTCCAGTAGAAGTTATAAGGGTGGAAGTAAGAGGTTGGAGTGATACGAGGAAGGGGCCCACAGCACAGGCATACAGGTGGTCTCTGGAGGCTGGAAAAGACATGGAAATGGATCTTTCCTGAAGCCTTCAGAAGGAATGCAGTCCTGTTGAAACCTTGATTTTAGACTTCTGACCTCCAGAACTGTAAGAGAATAAATCCATGTTGTTTTCAGCCACAAAGTTTTCGGTAGTTTGTTATAGCAGCCATAAGAAACTAATACAGATCCAAGGTCACCTGGGGACTGATGGTGGACTTGGAACTGGATTAGAACCTTGTTAGTCCAGATGTCTCAGTCGAAGCCTCCTTGCTTCCTGTATGCTTCGGCCAAAGCTTCTGGGTCACTGTGCAGCTCCCTGGGACAGTAACTGGACCCTTATCACATGTATTTCATTTGACCTTGACAAGAACCCTGTGGGGCAGACAGCCCCTACTTTACACATAGAGAAACTGAGGTTCAGAGGTGAAGTGTCTTGGCCAAGGTCAGAGCACACAATGAGGAATCAATGAGCTAGATCCCAGATCCAAGTCCTCTGCCCTTCCCTGAACAGTACAGATACCACACGTGTCCAGTATTTTGGTCTCTCATTCGTTCATTCAACAAATATTTATTGAATATCAGCTGATGCCTGGCCACTGTGCTCAGTGCTGCGGAGCCACTAGTGAACAGTCATGACGTCCAGAGACTAGGAATCCTTTGTTCTTGCATCTGTCTACATAGGTCAGTCAGGTCATGATGTTCCTGTAAACCTCCAACAAGACAAATATTATTCTCTGTTCTGCAACTTTTTATCTCTATATGAAGGGAAAAGTGTTATACCTTTAAAGGTCAGAGCCTTGAGAATGGACTATCATGTATTTTTCAAACTATAGGGGACCTTCCCCCCCCCCCCCCCCCCCCCGCCGTACGTGGGCCTCTCACTGTTGTGGCCTCTCCCACTGCGGAGCACAGGCTCTGGACGCGCAGGCTCAGGGGCCATGGCTCACGGGCCCAGCCACTCCGCGGCATGTGGGATCCTCCCGGACCGGGGCACAAACCCGTGTCCCCTGCATCGGCAGGCGGACTCTCAACCACTGCGCCACCAGGGAAGCCCTTTTTTTTTAAATTAATTTTTATTGGAATATAGTTGATTTACAATGTTGTGTTAGCTTCTGCTGTACAGCAAAGTGAATCAGTTATACATATACATATATCTGCTCTTTTTTTTTATTCTTTTCCCATATAGGTCATTACAGAGTATTGAGTAGAGTTCCCTGTGCTATACAGTAGGTTCTTATTACTTATCTGTTTTATATATAGAGCTGTGTATATATCAACACTAATCTCCCAATTTATCCCTCCCCGCCCACACAATAGACAACATTCTTAACTCAAAGCAAAAGCAATAGAATACAAAAGGTTAAAGTAAAAGAAACAGATCTAATGTGGAGTCAGATTTGTTCTTCTCTATTACGCCTGCAACCACCATGCCACTTTTTTTTTTTTAAGTTATTTTAGTTTTGGCTGCGTTGGGTCTTCGTTGCTGCGTGCGGGCTTTCTCTAGTTGTGGCGAGCGGGGGCTACTCTTCGTTGCGATGCGCAGGCTTCTCATTGGGTGGCTTCTCTTGTTGCGGAGCACGGGCTCTAGGCACGCAGGCTTCAGTAGTTGTGGCTCACAGGCTCAGTAGTTGTGGCTCGCAGTCTCTAGAGCGCAGGCTCAGTAGTTGTGGCACACGGGCTTAGTTGCTCCGTGGCACGTGGGATCTTCCTGGACCAGGGCTCGAACCCATGTCCCCTGCATTGGCAGGTGGATTCTTAACCACTGCGCCACCAGGAAGTCCCCAATACAGTATTATTAACTGTAGTCACTATGTAATGCTGTGAATACATTAAATCCTCATGATTTGTTTATCTTATAAGTGGAAGTCTGTACCTTTTGACCATCTTCACCCATTTTACTCACCCCTCACCCCCTGCCTCTGACTACCACCAGTCTGTTCTTTCTATCGATGAGTTCAGGTTTTTTCTTCTTCTTCTTTTTTTTTTTTTTTTTTGGCTGCACTGCGTGGCTTGTGGGATCTTAGTCTTTTTTTTTAAATTTCTTTTTAGATTTTACATATACTCTCACCTTTTATTTATTTTTATTTTTTATTTTAATTTTATTGGCGTATACTTGATTTACAGTGTTCTGTTAGTTTCTGCTGTACAGTAAAGTGATTCAGTTATACATATACATATATTCATTCTTTTTTAGATTCTTTTCTCATATAGGTTATCACAGAATGTTGAATAGAGTTCCCTGTGCTGCGTAGTAGGTACTTGTTGGTTATCTGTCTTATACATAGTAGTGTGTGTATGTTCATCCCAAGGTCCTCCATGCCACATTTCTCTTTTGGTAACCATAAATTTGTTTTCAATATTTGTAAGTCTGTTTCTGTTTTGTAAATAAGTTCATTTGTATTATTTTAAAAATTAGATTCCACATATGAGTAATATCATATGATATTTGTCTTTCTCTGCCTGACTTACTTCACTTAGTATGGTCATCTTTAGGTCCATCCATTGTTGCTGCAGATGGCATTATTTCATTCTTTTTGATGGCTGAGTAATATTCCATTGTATATATGTACCACATCTTCTTTATCCATTCCTCTGTTGATGGACATTTAGGTTGCTTCCATGTCTTGGCTATTGTAAATAGTGCTGCTGTGAACATTGGGGTGCATGTATCTTTTCAGATTATGGTTTTCTCTGGATATATGCCCAGGAGTGGGATTGCTGGATCATATGGTTGTTCTATCTTTAGTTTTTTAAGGAACCTCCATACTGTTCTCCATCGTGGTTTACCAATTTACATGCCCACCAATAGTGTAGGAGGGTTCCCTTTTCTCCACACCCTCTCCAGTATTTATTGTTTGTAGACTTTTTGATAATGGCCATTCTGGCTGGTATGCAGTGATACCTCATTATAGTTTTGATTTGCATTTCTCTGATAATTAGTGATGTTGAGCATCTTTTCATGTGATTTTTGGCCATCTGTAGTCTTTGGAGAAATGTCTATTTAGATCTTCTGCCCATTTTTTGAGTGTGTTGTTTGTCTTTTTGACATAGAGCTGCTTGAGCTGTTTGTATATTTTAGAGATTAAGCCCTTGTCGGTCGCTTCATTTGCAGATATTTTCTCCCATTCTGTGGGTTGTCTTTTCTTTTTTTTTTTTTTATGGTTTCTGTTGCTGTGCAGAAGCGTTGAAGTTTAATTAGATCTATTTGTTTATTTTTGTTTTTATTTCCATTACTCTAGGAGGTGGATCAAAAAAGATATTGCTGCTATTTATGTCAAAGAGTGTTCTCTCTCTGTTTTCCTCTAAGAGTTTTATAGTGTACGGCCTTACATTTAGGTCTTTTTTTTTTTTTTTCTTTTTTTTTTATCCATTTATACCACAAATATTTACTGCATATATGCTGTTTCGGGAGCAGGAGTCACTGTCTTAAGTGAAAGGCTACTTTGAAAGTGCTCTGTAAACTTAAATTACAGTTATTAGTATTATGTTTAAATCAAGGGTGAATCTGACAGGCTTGATGGGCTTCAGGTGACCTGAGGGTCGCAGTGGATCTGTATTGGCGGCTGAAGACCCAGGTAACGCGGGGGCGACAGAGAAAGCGCGTGTGTTGGGCAGGACAGCGTGTGCGTGCGGGCTGGGGAAGTGCGTGAGTAGGCAAGGGGCGTCTGCAGGCGTGGAGACAGGCACAGGAAGCAGGGACGCTCCGGGCGCAAGACGCGGTGACGATTACGCCGGACGTGGTGACGTAGCGCCCATTTAGGTCTTTGATCCATTTTGAGTTTATTTTGTGTATGGTGTTAGAGAATGTTCTAATTTCATTCTTTTACATGTAGCTGTCCAGTTTTCCCAGCACCACTTGTTGAAAAGACTGTCTTTTCTCCATTGTATATTTAAGGCAACATTCTTAACACAAAGCAAAAGCAATAGAATAAAAGGTTAAAGTAGGGCTTCCCTGGTGGCACAGTGGTTGAGAGTCCACCTGCCGATGCAGGGGACACGGGTTCGTGCCCCGGTCCGGGAGGATCCCACGTGCCGCGGAGCGGCTGGGCCCGTGAGCCATGGCCGCTGAGCGCAGCGGGAGAGGCCACAGCAGTGAGAGGCCCGTGTACCACACAAAAAAATAAATTAAAAAAAAAAAAAAAGGTTAAAGTAAAAGAAACAGATCTAATATGGAGTATGGAGTCAAGTTTATTTTTCCCTGTTACAGCACCCCTCCTGGGGCCGGCTTTCTAGGGACTTGGAAGAGAATCCGCAGCAATCACTTATAACTCATTCATCCATCCTAAACTCAGAGTCAGGCCCAGGAGAGACCTCAGTGACTGTTTGCTAACCAGAAAATAAATGACGTGTTGAGTTGAAATGTGCCATGTAATTTACAAGGCCCGTAAAGTAGAAACAAAATAATACATCAAGAACAGAAGTTTTTTTTTGTTTTTTTGTTTTTCCTTTTGGTTTTTTTTCAGAGTATCAGGGAAACTACAGATATGGATACAACTTGCTGAAGTCTCTCCAACTGAGCATCAGGATGGGAGGTGCATTGAAGGACTACAATGATGACTGATAGTGAACTTTAAATCCACCGCATGGGGAATTTCCTGGTGGTGCAGTGGTTAGGACTCCATGCGTCCACTGCAGGGGGCCCCAGGTTCTATCCCTGACTGGGGAACTAGAATGCCACAAGCAGTGCAGTGGCAGGACCAAAAAAAAAAATCCACTACATGTTACATATGGACACCCCCCCACACACACACATACACACAATTTGCACATGCCACCCAGGAAGAGACAGGAAAAGCAGTCAGGCCTGCCTGAGCAGAAAACTCCTTAAACTTACATGCACTTTCCACCAATCATTTCCAAGCCCCCCCCCCCGACTTCCTGTTTCCAAGATAAATATCCCACTCAGAAACCCATGAGCAGACACATCTGCACAGTGCCTCCTGTCTCCTAGTTTGGCTGCAATAAAGTCTTTTCTCTCTGCACACAACCGTTGCCTGCTATTTGGTCTTTCCGTTGGGCAGCAGGCAACGAGCCCATTTGCTCCATTACAATGACCCTGAGGTAGAGGAATCTTGTACCCCAAGCAAAAGTATACTCCCTCAGCCAGCCCACCCAGTGGGGCTCTCCAGCTCCTCACAGCATCTCCACAGGCCTGCCATGCTCTCCTGCCAAGCAGTCTCCTCATTCACCACACACCCCAGTGCCTGCTCAGGGAGTCCCCTCCCACCAGGAAGGTTTCTTTTTTCCTCCTTTCTCACTCTTTAACTCTGAAGCATGGTTCAAGGTACAGCTGAAGTCTCTCCTGCTCAAGGAAGCCCTTCTCAATGTCTCCTCGTCCTTCTCCAAGGGTATGTGTCATCCTTTGAGGACAGGGTATAACAGAGAATAACAAACCTGACTCCATATTGAATTCCTTTAGCACTGACCTTTGTGCTGTTGCCTGTACTGAGTTATGCTGGCTTTGCCCCTTTTGTAAAAGAATGTTGCCTATAACCTGAAATATACAGGATAGCCCGTTCTCAAGGCTCGGACCCTTTAAGGTGTCATTCCATTCATGTAGAGACTAAAAGGTGCAGAACAGAGGATAACATTTGTCTTGTTGAAGTTATATGGGAATACTGTGACCACACCTACACGGACAGCTGCAAGAACAAAGGATTCCTACACCAAGCCACACCTGCTCCCCTTTTAGTATAAAAGAAGCCTGAATTCTAACTCAGGTAAGATGGTTCTTTGGGACACTAGTCCACCATCTTGTCGGTCTGCTGGCTTTCCAAATAAAGTCACTATCCCTTATCCCAACAACTCATATCTCGATTTATTGGCCTGTCATGCAGTGAGCGGTACAAGCTTGGACTTGGTAACAAGGGCACCATTTTTTCATCCTGTCTCCTCTCATTGTGCCCATCACCAGGATGGCCACAAGGAGGGCCGCAAGCATGGCCATGCCCCAGGCACACCACACTCTTTCAGGCCCCTTTTGCACTTGCAGCCCCCTCTTGTCTAGACTGTCCTCTCCTGACTTCTCCTCCTTCAAAGTCTCATCTCCCTGAGGATCCCTCCCCACCTCCACACCCACATGTTACCCTCTGCTCACTGCCCCCACTCTTCTCAGAATCTGTCTCTAGTGTAGCAATTGTCACACGAACACACGTCTAATGAATTCAGTTCCATTAGATTGAAGGGAAGAAAAGCCCATCTTTTACATTTCTTGAGTGGCTACTCTGTGCCAGGCACTGTGCTGTGTGCTAAGGAAATAGAGATGAATCAGAGACCTGCCCTCAAGGGCCTAATGATTTGCTTGAGGCCTCCCAAACTAGACTGGGGGCTTCCAGGGGATGAGGACTCAGATCTGATTCCCCTGTGGGTCCCCCATCACCAAGCACAGACTGGCTCATAAGAAAGCTTTGTGGAGTGAATGCAAGATTGACCTTCTTAAGTTGTAGCTTCAGCTCGGACAAGCCACTTCACTTTCCAGAGCCTCACGTTCCTCATAGGCTAACTGGGAGCAGGGTTTCCAGGACTGGGGTGAGGATAAGAGGAAATGACAAGTGTGAAAGCTCTTTGGAGACCAAATATCCTTCGGTATACGTAAGAGATGGTGACTGACGTTTCCCTCTGTCCCCTACCAGGGCCAGCCATACTCCTCAAGGACCATGGAAGCAGCCCTCACTGGCATTGAATTCACATCACTCAGGTCTAAACCTTCCTGGATCCTGGAGAATTCTCTGCACAGAGCCATGGATTTCTCTCTCCAGCCTACGGGCTTTGGATTTATTTCTGACTTGGGAAATCCCCATCCTGCCTTCTGCTTTCAGCCCAGGCCCTGGCTTGGGTAAAACACAACGAGGAAGCAGGTGACATCTCAGGACAGAAGGGGCCAGGTCAGGGAAGTGCCTTCCAGGGATTCACACCAGAGCTGGAGACATGGTTGGGATATTATGTTAGAGAAAATGGAAAGCTGGGAGAGCGGGAGGGACCTGCCTCGGGTCTCCAGAAAGTCAGTAATAGAGCCAAGGTAAGTCCCAGGATGCCTGGCTCTCATCACATCCACTCTATCTCAGGGCCACCAAAGCCCTACCCCATCAGAGTCCCCCTAACGTTCCTTCTCATCTCTCTCTCTACCCCGAGACACTTAGTTCTGCCCAAAAAGAGTCTCAGTGTTCTCCAAATACATCATCTGCTTTTAACTCCGTGCCTTTGTATGCAATACGCCTTTTTGTGCATCCCCTTCTCCCACTTGTCTACTAGGTAAACCCCTACTCATCCCTCAAGGCCCGTTCAAATAAATGTTTCCTTCCTTCAAACAAAGTCTAGACTCAGTTTATCCAGAATCCATTCCTCTCTCTTTCCTCTGTGTTCTTATAACACTCTCTGTATACACTGATTTTAATATTTACTACCCTCTTCTATAATTGTCTATAACTGTCTTAGTCCTCACTAGACTGTATTCTCCTCTAGGATAGGGATTATTTCTGCTTCATCTCTCTGTCCCCAGGGCCTATCAAGGTGTCTGGCACTCAATTGGCACTCAATAAATGTCGACCAAATAGTGGAACAGATGAAGGAATATGAAGCAAATTTTTAACCTTTTTAAATTTTATATTTTTAAGGAATATGAGTCTTTATTTATTTGGCCATTCCACGCAGCTTGCAGGATCTTAGTTCCCCAACCAGGGATTGAACCCGTGCCCTCGGCAGTGAAAGCATGGAGTCCTACCACTGGACCACCAGGAAATTCCCTCAGAGTCTTAGTTTATTATCCTTGAAATGAAAGGAAAAAAAAAACTCAAGCACTTGGTAAGGATAAATGGTGGATAATGAATGTGGCACCATCACTGACTCAGTTGCCTGAGCCAAAAATAGGGTATCACCCCAAATTTCCACTTATCCCTCTTCCTTTTCCCCTTCTCCTATCACCATGGCTTTTTTTTTTAAATTAATTTATTTTATTTTTGGCTGCATTGGGTCTTCGTTGCTGTGCTCAGGCTTTTCTCTAGTTGCGGTGAGCAGGGGCTACACTTCGTTGTGGTGCGTGGGCTTCTCATTGCAGTGGCTTCTCTTGTCATGGAGCACGGGCTCTAGGTGCGCGGGCTTCAGTAGTTGTGGCATGAGGGCTCAGTAGTTGTGGCTTGCGGGCTCTAGAGCGCAGGCTCAGTAGTTGTGGCGCACGGACTTAGTTGCTCTGCAGCATGTGGGATCTTCCCGGACCAGGGCTCGAACCCGTGTCTGCTGCATCGGCAGGCAGATTCTTAACCACTGCACCACCAGGGCAGCTCACCATGGCTTGTTGAACCTGGCTGAGGATCTAGGTAAGAAACTCTAGGTTACTGGGGGATTTCCATCAGGCCAGAGCTGTCAGGAAGGATGGAGGCAAAGGATGCCGGACGTAGGGATCCTGTAACTAAAAGAACCAGAGGGAGTGACTGCTGGGGACACTGAAGGAGCAGATAAGGGATGGAGAAGGGAGAAGTCAAGGGTGGGTTCTGGGGACTTAGAAACCACTCAGTCTCTGCCCTCAAGGAGCTCATGGTCTGCTGAGGAAACAAAGAGAAACAGTTTTATACAGAACTCCACTGTAGTGCAGCACTACCTCCTTCCTGATACCCCTTTTTTACTTGGCTTCCAGGATACCACCCAACTTACCTGGCTTTCTGCTTATCTTCTTGGCCCTCCTTCTCATTAGTTTGCTGCTTCTCCTAGTTTTCTCAAATTCTGAATTTTGAAGGAAATGATTTTCCATCTACACTCACTCCTTTGGTGGGCTCATCCTCTCTCATGGCTTTAAACACCATCCATGTGCTGATGACTCTCAAACTGATATTTCCAGTCTTGATCTCTCCCTTGACCTTCAGACCTATATGCCCTCCTGCTCCCTCAACAACCCCACTCTAATGGACATCTCAAAGCCAACACACTCAAAAATGAGCTCCAGATATTTCCCCCCAAAACCAGCACCTCCCTTGTCTTTCCAACTGGTCTCCCTGCTTCTGCCACTGACCCCACTGAATTTTTCTTCATAAAACAGCCAGAGTAACTCTGTTAAAATCTAAATCAGATTGTGTGGATCCTCTGCTCATAACCCTTCACGGGATCCTCAACATGGGGTAAATGGGGTAAAACCAAAGTCCTTATTGTGATCTGCGAAGCTGTACTCTCTGGCTCCTACCTCTATCCTCATCTTCTCCCATTCTCCCCACAGAACACTATGCTCCAGCCATTCCAGGCCCTTTGCACTTGTTCCTTCCTGATGTTCTTCCCTAAATATCAGAATAGTGCCCCCTTTCTTTTTTCTTCAGATCTTTTACTCAAAGGTCACCTTCCCAGTAAGGTCTTCCTTGGCCCCCTAACTGAAAGGAAACGTCTCCCCTACCAACATTTTATTTCCACTTCTCTGACTTATTTTTTCTCCTCAATATTTACTGCAGTCTTAAAACTATATATTTTATTTACCTATCTTCTTTATTTATCTCTCATTAAAATGGAAGCACCATGAGTCTCCTCATGATTTGGTTTTTTTTTTGGTCTGTTTTGTTCACTGTTGTGTATCCATTACTTAGAATAGTGGCAGGCATATGTAAGGTACTCAGTAGATATTGCTTGAATGAATGAAAGAAAAAGGTGGACATTTCCAAGGGGCAAATTTTACTCTAATGAAAAACTTTATAACACCCAGAGCTGCTTGTCAACAATGACAGTCGATATGCACAGTACACTACCTCTTAAATATGTTATCTCATGAAATCCTCACATCAGTCCAAGATGCGAAGAAGGCTGGGCAGAGATTATGATGCTGGTTGAAAAGGAAACTGAGCCCAGACATGGAAAAGGGATTTGTTAAAGGTCACACATTTGGTCAGGGCAGGAGGGGAACTATGGATGACTGCTGGCCTTGAAAGGGGCTGGTGAGTGATGGAGCTTAATGGGGGTTGGGTTTGAAGGACTTACGTCGCCAGAAGGCATAAGGATCTCTGAAAGGGAAGCTGAGTCAGAGGTTAGTAAAACGGAGGCATCAGCAAAGGAGTGGGAGAGGGATGTGACAAGGCTGACAGCTAAGCTTATTTAGCCCAGTCCTGGAGAGGGCAGCTGAATTTCCCAGCAGCAGAATGCTGCGCCTGAGATTGGGTAATCAAGCCCTTACAAAATCTGGAATGCAGAACTGGAAAGGCAGTCTTAAGAGACCAGTGAGTCCACTGCAGGTCTACGGAGTCTGGCTTCCCCACTGGTCTGTGAGGTCTTTGAGGGCAGGGACCGTGTTCCTAGATTTAGCCCCAGCTTCTAGCAGGGCCTGGAATATGGAATATAGTAGGGACTCAAATATTTCTGTCGAAGGAATACATAAATGAATGTATGCACCCAAACGGGAAACTGAGGGGGAGACGAGACAAACAGGAGGGGCGAGGCGTAAAATCACCCAGCGATTCTGGGGTAGAAGCAGACTAATTTTCCTGGGACGCAGCAAGACAAACAGTCCTAGTACTAACGCTGGTTGCCGCCAGGTGTTTTTCAACAGGGATTGGCAAGCAAATACCGCCTGGGGACAGAAAGGCGGGGCTAAATGGGGCCGTTGGGGCGGGTCCAGGCTGGAGAGGCCGATTGGCTGAGACTCAAGGCGGGGCCAATAGAGCAGGCGCGCCAAATTTCCACCCAACACGTGACTAACGTGTGTAACGTCACTTCCAGTCCGGTGGGCGGGAGCGGGAAACAAAAGAAGACCAAGGACGCATGCGTTTGGTTTGTCCCAGGTTCCGATGGATTCTTCCGCTCAGGGAGAATAAAGTGCTTCCGGGTCGCCGCCGCCTGCCGACTCCCGGCGCGGTAAGTACATAAGACAGGCTGCTGTTGCTGTCTCTTTGCCCCTTCTTTCCTCCCTTCCCCAGAGAAACCTCATTCCCTTGACCCGCCTCCTCAGGAGCTGCCTGTTCACACTCCCTTTAACATTAAAAGAGTTCCAGCTCATTGGCCGCTTCCTCGAAACTAAGCCCCACCCCGTCGCACAAGGTCCGTCACTCATTGGTGTCACTTCCTGTCACCCAGCAGTTCTTGCAGTTAATTGGCCTTATCCAGGCCCCGCTCCTTTCTCGGTAGCAACCCCAAATACCTGCCTGGATCCCGCCCATGCCTTCTTCCTGTTGGTCAACTCCACGGTCATTATCATAATAAGCCGAGAATGGGCGGTGGCTTTGCGGTGAGGGGTTGGGCTTTCGGAGCCGCGGCCTCTGGCCCTTCAGTGCTTATGGGACTTGAGAGAGGGTTCTGTTGTGCCTCTTAAACGCGCCGGGCAGCTGAGCTCCACGGAAGGGCAGCGGCTGGCCCCGGATTGGTCAAGTGCATTAGGGCGAGAGCAGAATTAGACGTAGATCCTTTTCTCCTGCTCACCTCTAGTGCCCGGCCTGGATCTCTTCCCCGCGAGAGTTCTATGCCCAACTCACCGTGGCACCTAGAGCCAGTCGTTGCCTGTCGCTGGGCCTCAGTTTTCCTGTGAGCTGAAAGGTTTTAATTCAGATTCTCTGGGACCTCCCGTTCAGCTCCCTCAGCTGCTGAATCTCAGCTGAATATACTTGTTCTCTTACATGTTAGTTCATCCAGTCTTTCATCTGCTCATACCTTTAGAATGTTACTGAGCCATACGTGCACGTGATAACACTTCCCCTCCCTGCCCCCCAGTTTGGCTGTGGTTCATGATAGAGGTGGTCAGGGTCCAAAATTTCTGACACTGGGTGGGTATGGTGTGGGCGGCATGGAGGAGCTGAAAGTAGGTCTCAGTGTTTGGAGGAGGTGGAGAGAGTTTCAGTAGAGTCCTGCTGTCTTTAATTTTGTAAGGCCAGTCTGCATTCTGGTTTCCTCTCTCTACATTTGGCTTCCATTCTCTTCCCTCCTTGAACAGCTTACAAACAGCTTTACTTACCCATAAAGTAAATTACTCAATTATCAGAATAACTATGAGGGTGGCATAATTGTTACTGTCCCCGTTTTACAGATGAGGAAACTGAGGCTCAGAGAGGTTAAGTGACTTGGCCAAGGTCAAACAGCTAGTAAGCGGTGGAGCCAGGACTCAAACCCAGGTCTGTCTGATTCCCACAGGGAAGGGGTACTTTCCTGCTACCTTCCACACTACCCAATCCCCAAATCAAAATGTAACCAAATACAAACTAAAACCAAACACATCTGAAAGCTGGATTCACCTGACGCTTTTCCTCAGTCTAGGAGCCATGTCCACGTTGTTTCCCTCACTCTTCCCCCGTGTGACTGAGACACTGTGGTTTAATCTGGATCGACCCTGTGTGGAGGAGACAGAGCTGCAGCAGCAAGAACAGCAGCATCAGGCCTGGGTGAGTGAGGACATAGCACAGCGGTGGAGCTTCAGTCAGGTGCCCCGCCCCCCTTCACTGGCGTTGACCCAGACCTACTCTGGAGACCTGCCCTGGGGGAGCTTTTTGTCCTGAGCTGGGGGCCTAGGTTCTCACTTTTGTGTTACCCTAATTTGCCAGGGGACCGTGGGAGCTCTAGGCCAGGTTGGAGCCCAGGCTCTTTTCCCTAAAGCATAGAAAATAATAATTTTGACTGTTTATTGAGGACCTAGCAGATGTCATGTTCTAGGCTGATAGTCTCACTTCATCCTCACCATAAGCTTATGAGGAAACCAAGGACCAGAGAGTTTACATAGTTGGATCAAGTTCATAAGTAAGTGGCAGATGACAGGAGAGAAAGGGATCGAATCTTCCAGAGAGCTGGAAGGAAGCTTCTCCTTCACACTTGGGGGTCTTCCTGGGGGCAGGGCAGGTGAGTGCCATGCCCCTGACTGCCCTGCTTGGGCCCTGGCCTTGCTCTTCTCCCCCTGTGGCCACAGCTCCAGAGCATTGCAGAGAAAGACAACAACCTGGTACCTATTGGCAAGCCGGCCTCAGAGGTGAGTGGCTCCAGCAGGTGGGGCCTCTGTGGGGCCCAGGTGGACCAAGGCTCTGCTCTAATTCGGAAGGTCTGGCCTCTGACTCCAGAGCAGTCGTGGTCCTCAGCTCTGGGTGGAGGACAGAAAAGAGGACATAGAGGGGGAGGGCACTGGGCTCAGCACTAAGGTCCTGCAGAACGTGCACCAGCCTGCTAGATTAAAGTGGGACAGGACTGGGGAATGGAGCTCATTCGTTGTCCCCAGAGAGAGGCTCCAAGTGGGCCAGTCCTTGAACTGGCCCAGGCAGACCTGTAGAGGCTACAGGCTCTTCCCTGCCTCACCAGCACTATGATGACGAGGAAGAGGAAGATGAAGACGACGACGAGGACAGTGAAGAGGACTCGGAGGATGATGAGGACATGCAGGACATGGATGAGATGAATGACTACAATGAGTCACCTGACGATGGAGAGGTCAATGAGGTAGGCAGGGGTGTGGGGCAGGGCCTCTGCTCCTGGGCCCCTACCCCTGACCTCACTGGCAGCCAGCGGGTACAGAAACCCTGGATCCAGCCAGGGGCAGGATCTGGGACTGGGGCTGGCTGGGTGGCTGAGGCCCCTCCCCACCCACACCCAGCCTCCTCTCCAGGTGGACATGGAAGGCAACGAGCAGGATCAGGACCAGTGGATGATCTAGGTAGACAAGGCAGGGTGGTCTCGGAAAGACTCCAGGCCCGCCCAACCTATCCTGGAGCCCCTGCAGACCCAGCTGATCACCCAACCCCCCCTGCCCCGGTGCCTGAAAGCTCACCCTCGGGCACCTCCTTAGCTGCTGCCAGCACCTGGTATCCTTGGCCCCTCCCAGGCCATCAGTCTGCCCTTGAATCCGCAGAGCCTGAGCCCACCCCACCTTTCTGGCCAGCACCTCATCCCTTGGTTGCCAGATCTAGTCTCTTTCTAACTCTCTTTAATAAAGACACAGGACTGATTTTTTTCCCCACATCTATTCCCTATTTCTTGGTGGGGCCTAGAGGAGTGCAGCATCTTCTCTTGAGCTTTGGGGAGAGGGTTCTCAAGGGACTTCAGGCAAATCTACCTGGCCACGCGGGCTAGGGCTATGGAAGGCCAGGGTAGCCCTGGCTGTGGGCCCAGGCTCCACTGCCATTTCCTCTGGCCCAGCTTGCACCCAGCCATTCCTGCAGGGCCTCTAACTCAGTGTTTACTGTTTCCTTTGATCCCACCTGGAATGGCATGGGGTGGGGTGGGGTGGGGGGTGGGAGGCAGGCTTTCTGAGCGCCAGAACTGGGAGGCCCCTGGAGCTCTCCTAGTCAACTTCCTTGGTGTTAGAACAGATTAGATCTCAGAGCAGGGCAGGGACTCCCATGGAGTAACCCAGCAAATCAGTGACAGGGCTGTGTTGTGAGCTGAAGTCTCTTGCCTGTCAGTCCATGACTCTGGACTGGAAGGAGGGGGACCAGTGGGATCAAAGAGCCTGACAGAACTTGAGGCCTCAGGTTAGTGTGGAGCCAGAGTGAGACAGAGGTGGGAGGAGAGACTCCCCAGCCCTGAGCCCAGTATGTGTCAGTCCACAAGCAGGGAGGGGAGGGGATATTCTGAGGTCCTTGCTTGGTTGGGGGGTGGGGGGAGGCAGCAGTAAGTACCCCTGGGCCTGGACCTCAGCCAGGCCCTGAGTAGGTGAGCTGGGCTATGCCGTCCTTGATGGCAGGGAAGTCAGGGAGGCCAGTGTGGTGGAGGCGGCAGCGGTAGCGGCCACAGCTCTTGGCGTACTGCAGGAAGCGAGGTGCACCAGGGAAGAGCACGTGGTCAGCTAACACTGTGGCACCAGCTGGCAGCAGGGCATGGGCCTCCAGCAGTTGCAGGTCCCTCAAATAACGTCGGGGCCTGTGTGCCAGGAGCACCAGGTCAATCCGATTCATATGGTACTGGGTTCTTAGGCGCGGGATCACCTCCTCTGATCTACCCACGATGAGCTCCACCTGTGGGGGTGGTAAGAGTTGGAGATGAGGGTGGGAGCGGTTGTTCTCCCACACCAGACCCTACCGGGATCTGGCTTATTTTGTGCCAGGCCCTGGCCTAGGTCTCCGTGTGTGTTCTCATATTTCCCCTGGCCTCAGAACCCAAGGAGTCAGGATCAGCATTGTGATTTTTCATTCTGCTAGTAAAGAAGCTGAGATTCAGAGGACAGGTGCTTTGCCCAAGATCACACAGCCAACAAGAGGCAGACTAAGGTTTGGACCCAGATTTGCTGGGCTCCAGAGACTTTCCTCTTAACTGCTTCTTTGTCATCCAGCAGCAGATACATGCCAGTAACTTGGAACAGGAGAACAAGAGCTCATACACTCTCCAGGTTCACAGTTCCCTAAGTGGAGCTGTTTCCTTCTCCTAGGTGGGATTCCCCCATGGGGGAAGCTGGCTAGGGCAGAGCTGGGGGTGGCAGGAAGGAGACCAGGGTTGGGGAGGTGGGGGCTGACCGTGCGCTCGTCGAAGCCAGCCAGGCGGATGAGTTTTTCAGCCACTGCTGCTGTGCGTGGATCCCGCTCCACAGTGAGAAGGCGACCTCCAGGGGGCAGGGCACGGGCAATAAGCAGTGTGGAGTACCCGCAGTAGGTGCCCAGCTCCAGTGCACAAGCAGGGGCCTTCTCCTCCACCAGCCGCATCACGATCTGACCTATGGGGGGAGATGGTTATTGCAGCAGACATGGGAGATGGATGCAGGGGCCCTCATGGAAAGGGGTCTCAAATGCCCACTTGCCACTGCAACCTCCAACCAGCGGGAGTCTCATTTCTTTCTTGGATTACAGTCCTAGCAGCCCCAGTGGCCTCCCTGCCCCTCTCAGCTTGCCTCCTTCACACCAACCACTAGGAATCTTTCTGACAAATCTGACCCTAATGCTCCCTGGTTCCTATGAACCTAAAGGCCTTTGGGATTGAACGTGGGATCCTCAGCCTGACATTCAGAACTTTCTTGGACCTGATCCTATCCTACCTTTCCAGTTTCAGCTCTCAATTCTTCCCACCACAGCCATCCCAAACAACTGTGCCCAGAGCCAACCATGCTGGTTCATTTCTTCATGCCACATTTAGATATGTGGCTGGCTTTGTCCTCCCCCACCTCTGTCCTCAACTACCTGGCCAACTCGAAAGCAATCCCTCTAGGCCCAGTTCAAATGTTGCTTCCTCCAGGAGGGCCCAGGCAGAAACAACCACCAGAGAGAGACCAGGCTTCTGAGAGACCACTGTCCAGGCTCCCGAGAGGTCTTTGCTAGACCTTCTAGTTTCATTCTCCCTTGATGTGTTCATTGAATAGCTTTCTAACCATTGAATTGGATGAATTTCTTAAATAAGACTCTAAAAACACATGTGCTGACAGCTGGGACTCAGACAAATCCAGCCAGACAGCTACCCTGAATGGGCTGGAGAAACCTCCATGGTGGGGGAGAAAGACTCAGACACAGATAATTACAAGGTTTTGGGTTGTGTGCTGAGGTGGTTATTCTCCTGTATCATGCCCCCTTTGATGCCAGCCTTTGTGGCTGATTCATCCCTGGCCTCTACCTCCTCCCCCAGCACCTAGCACATGCCTGGTACAAAAGAGGTGGTGATAAATTTTACTGGATGAATGTATAACTTTGCCCAGCCCCCTCATTTCCAGAGAAGAAAAAAGAGACCCACAGAAGATCAAGAACCTGCCTAATTCACCCAGTAAGGCAGTGGCAAATCCCAGATCTTCCTTCACCATCTTGGAGGTGCTTCCTGGAGCAGAAGGCTAAGGAACACTGACCTTTGACAGGCCCCATGTGGCTCAGGTACTCGCAGTGGCTGCTCCAGTGGTCCAGGGTGGTGAGGATATGACCAGGGTCCCCAGGCAGGGCGTGGGTGAGCACATAGCTGAAGGCCCGCTCCTCAATCCGCATCCCTGACAGGCAGTCTCGGAGGCTCCGGAGTAAGACCATGCGTACCAGTAGTCGGAAGTAGTGCCGGTACCTCACCAGCAATGTCACCACCAGTGGCAGGAAGGCCAGCGCGATGGCGGGGGACATGGTCCCTACCTGGGCCTGGGGTGGAGGAAGGGAGGGAAACCCACACATGTCGTTTGCCTGTCATTTGTGCAGCCCTTACCAGTAGCAATTATCCCTATATTTTACACACCATGGCTCAGAAAGGTTAAGTCCTTTGTCCAGAGTCACACGGAAGAACTAGGATTTGAATCCAAGCTGGTCTGATTCCAAGCCCACGTACTTTCAAGGACAACATACTGTCTTATGTTCAGCACCCAACCCCAAACTACCTCTTCCTACTCCTGGTTCATCTTCACCTTGCTCCCTCCACCCATTTTCCCTTATCTCTGTAGTCACTCTTCTTCAGAACCCCTTTCACCAGTTCCTTCCTGAGTTCTCCTCCCACCTTACCCACTGCCTGCTTGGTCTCTGACCCATTACTGTGTAGCAAAAGAGCACAACTTTGTAGTCAGGAACCCCTTCACTGTCACTCTTCTGCCTCAGTAAAAGGCAATCAAAACACTCCATGGCGTGTTAGGATGAGATATCCTTAACCACCCCAGGACCCTCCCTCTGTCAGCATTTCCCTGGGGGTAGGAACAGTCCGTGATTGTATATTTATTCTCTAGTCCTATTTCCTCTCCCCTGCACTCCCCTCCTATCCTCTCTCTCAGCATTCCATTCACATTTACATTCACATATACACACAGCACACACTTTCCCCCAACTCAGCCTCTTCTCCCCACTCCCCCCACCCCCTGTCTGGGATAAGTGCCCTGTCTTCTCCCACGCACTGGACCATCTGACCCTTTTGAGGCCACTGGTGGTGGTGACTAAAAATTAAAGTAGGAGTGTATGAATGGGGTGAATAGGTAGGTGAGTGACAGTGAATCTGAATTGATGCGCTTGGGAACCCACACTCAAGGGCCCCGCTTACCTGGGCTGGAGGCTCCTGCTTGGGGAAGATCAGAGCATAGGACAGGAGGGGGAGTCCTTGGGGTGGGGAAGAACCCTGAGGCAGGCTGGACTTGCTGTCAATTATTGATGCTGAGGCTGCTGCTGTCACCTGAGACCTGCAGTTCAAGTTACCAACCCCAGGTACAAGCTTGAGCTGCCTCCTACCCTTCAGGAGCCCTCAAAGAACTTACAGAACTCCGGGGTCTTGATTTGAGGGGTAATAAAGCTACTGGGTTTGGTGACCTCTCCTCAAATCCCTTGGTTCAGGACATAGGGTATGGTGTGAGCCAAGGTGATAGGGAGGTTGTGAGTTACTCAATAATTCCAAATCCTAAGCAAGTGCCAAGGCTTGAGTCACAGAGAAGAGTCGGATCCTGTCCCTGTCCCCCTGGAACTCCACCTTTGTTAGAAGAGACTGACACAGGAACAGAGAATATAATGTGAGCACTAGAAGGCATGCTCCATGAACACAGGCGCTTTGGGCAGGCAGACCGGGTGGGGAGACAGTGTGCCAGGCCATGTGTGTAAAGTCCAGAAAGTCAATCAGGAAACTCCAAGTATTTCCCTGTGGTTGGTGAGGCATTCCCCCAACCCCTGCTCCACTGCCCTGGGCTTGGAGTGGGTGTCAGGCTCTGCAAGATCTTGCACGACAGACTTGGACTTGTGTTGAGTCCAAGGGAAGATGTGGGATGCTTCTAAGAAGCGCACTGATTGTGAGCTTTGTGTGTTAGATTACTATGACTGCTGTAAAAAGGCAAGATTGAAGAGAAATGCCTGAGGGCAAGGAGATCACTGAGGTGGCCTCTATCTCCTCCACCAGGATTGAGCTCCACTCTGCTTCGGTTTGTGAAGGTATAAGGTCCCTTCTTCCAGTAAGTCTCAGATCCCCAGTCCAGGTTGGGTGACACACCCTCTGTATGTCGCCAGCCTTGGCACCAGGCAACTGGGCCTATCGGTGTGTACTCTTGGAGCATAGAGCCTGGATCCTACTCGCCCCTCTAAAGGCATTTAGGAGAGTATTTCATGACGGCAGTTGGTATAAATTCGCTCACTGGCCCACAAAGGTAGCCTGGCGCCCACGGGAACACATAATACACTTAACACGAGGGCTTCTATAACCGTCAGTGGAAGTCTCCGGCTGAGACCCGGAAGAGGCTGAAGTCATATGATCCGCCCCTCCCTTTCCTTGCATCACGTGTCTCACGGCCTGTCACGCAGCGTGTGCCTTCCCATTGGTTGGCTAAGATCACGTGGTAGGGGCGGGGCCGGAAGCCGGGGTTCCGGCGGCAGCCGCGACGGCTAAGCTCCTCTGGGAAGGGGTAGGCGCGGGGGCGGTGGTTACTTGCTGGATGCAGGCGCGGGTCATGTGACCGGAAGGGCTCCTGACGGACGCCGTCCCTCCTCGGCGCGGCCTGAGCGCCCGGCCCGACCCCCGCCATGGGGTGCTGCTACAGCAGCGAGAACGAGGACTCGGACCAGGTGCGGCCGCCGCGGGCGGGGCTCGGGAGTGAGGGCAGAGATCCTGGGGCATGGGGCCCAGAGAGAAGGCTGCAGAAGAGGGTCAGCAGGACTTCAGGGCTCACTGAGTACGGGGGCCCGGAGAGGACAGATTACAGAGGAGACGCCGGGCCGGGCTGCTACCCCTTTTGAAGCCTCATTTCTTTCTGCACAGCCCCTGTGTTGGGATGTGCAGGCAGCCGCGTGTCCCGCTCGCTCGCGCGCCTTCCATCTTTCCCTACCTTCAGACGTTTACAATTTAAAGGATCCTCAGCCTAGGTCTCGGGGAAGCACTTTCTTCCCAGCTTCCTTCTCTGTGTTTTGTATTAGCGGGCTTTGTGAATCCATTGTAAAGGTGGGTAAGCTGAGGCTCTGAGTTAGAGTGTCCCGATATGAATCAGGAATCTGTGTATACTCTGAATCCCTGGGGTTGAAGAAGGAAGGTCACTGCTGATCTGGGGTCGGAGAAGGCCTATGGAAGTTGGTGTCATTTGAGTTGATCAGTGAAGGTTTTAATAGACACAGTGAGGACATCAGGACCTGTGGGAAGTTGGAAAGCAACAAATCGGGTTTAGCTTTGGCTAGATTGGGGGGAAAAGAGAGGTGGCCTGGGGAGCTCAGTTTGGCCTGCCTCAGTGCAGTCCCTACCTGGGGCCTCAGGGTTCCTCTAGCTAGAAGGGTGTTTGTCCTGGGAATTTGGCTGTAGATCTGATCCTTTTGCAGAAAGGATTAGGCTGGGAAGGCCTGTACAGTTTTAAATTCTGTCTCTTCCTCTTGGTGTATTCTAACTTCCTGCCACACTTAAATCCTTGCCCTGCCTGCCTGACCTCCTTTGAGGAGGGGAAGACCTTTTCAAGGATGAAGTCTCAAGTTGTTGGCCACTTGCCTTTTTGGTTACCTCTAAGCCTGGATTGTATATTTCAACACATATAGAGACAAAAACTGTAGAAAGGTTTCAGCAAGTAGCTCACAGTCCAGTGGAGTAGATGGTCACAGAAACGGATTATATCACTGGTAAATGGGAAGTAGGTCTTTCCCCAGTGACTCATGTTAATCTATTTTGGGTCAAGGACTTAAGCTGGGGAAAATGTCACTTGTATGAGAGGGATGGGTGGCCCCTGGGCCTCATTAAGCCTCCAAATGCCCAGTGAACATATACATATGTCTGTGCCTTATGTTAGGCATGCCATACAGCCAGTACTTCACACTTCACTCCAGCCTGTTAGAAATAGGAGGCAATATCCCTGCCTACTGGGAAAGCTATGGTTTAATGGGAAATTGTCCCTTAAACCATAATATGGACTCTTGCAGGGAATGAGTCAAGGGTTAACTCTTTATGAGAAAGGATACCAGCTTCTAGCTGGAATTGCGGTTTTCTTGAATCTCCACCTTCCCCTTGATGGGCTTTCATTTCTGTTTTTAACCCCCAGAGATGGTGCTTGATCAGTCCTGGGTGATTTGAGGCCTCACGTGGAGAAGGTCTGCTTACTACCTGGTCTACAAGCCAAAACCATTCACTGTCCCCTCTTTCGGGTCTTGGGCAGGCCCCTCTCACACTCTCATATTGGACCCTTTGTTATAATAATAAAGAGAAATGTATAACATGTTACAGTTTTCAAAGACCTTTTACAGTTATCCCACTTGATTCTTGCCAAAACATCTGTCATATAGGTACCAGTTATGTCTATTTAAATGTGAAGAAAAACTTCAGAGAGGCTAAGTGATTTAGCCAAGGTTACAGAGCTGAGAAGTGCCACAGGCAAGGTATTTTGATGACAAGTCATGTCTTTATCCGTTGGGCAGACTTGTGTCTTCTAGCTGTGCCCACAGACCAGGTGGCTAGTGATAGGCCACATACATGTCTGTGCTACAGTAGGCAGTGAAGCTCTGACTCCCAGGTTGACGTTGACTCCAGGACAAACGTTGGTGTGAAAACCTCCCCCATGCTCCAGTCACCCTTTTGGGGATGGGGTGATGTTATTTGTCCACTCTAATTGTGGTAGCATGGCCTCTTCCAGGAGTCTAGGTCTCAGGAAAACAACCTTGTTCTTGGAGAACCCCTTATCCTGCAGGAGGATCTGTCTGAATTGGGGCTGGGGAAAAGATGGACATATAAGAAGAAGCAAACTCCGGCTTCATTATGGAGCTGGCTTTCCTTAGAGATAGTTTAATCTTTGGCAAACATCTTGTTTTTAGTACTTAGCTTGTGTTTTAGGGGGTCGGGGTGTCTAGGAGTTGGGAGCTGATGAGGCAGAAGCCCATAGCTTCTGTCTCATGCTCTTGGGAACTGGGGACATGGGCAACCTAGGCTTGAGACAGAAGAGTAATGTCAAAAGGCTGGCCCTGCCTAGGGCAGGGCAAGCAGGGTAGGAGGAAGTATCCTCTGTAAGGAGAGTTGTGGAGTTGTGGGCAGGGGAGCTGGGAGCCTGCAAGTGTGAAAGTCTGGTAGGAACTGAGATAGGCCTGAAACGGAACACTAAGGAGTCCAGTGGTCTGGCACTGAGGGCTGGTGAGTCCGCTTTAGCCAGGATGCACCCTTGTCTCTGGTTTTGTCCTGGGTACCCTTGTTCTTTATGCTTTGGATAGATACCCAGCATATCCACTTATCCAGTTTGTAGCTGACACAAAGCCAGCAGGGATTTGCAGCTGATGGGCTCAAGGCAGGGTTGTATTCAGAAAGATTGCAGTAGATAAGAACAAGGGGCTAAAACGAGGAGAAATAACACATAGAATTATACAGGACCAGGGAGACTTGGTTTGGTCCCAGGTCAGTTCTGGGGGTTGTAGTGATTAGCATAGGCTAGCAGAAACAGGGCTGCTGAAACTAATGAAACCACATTCACAGAGGTGTGGTGGCTTGGCAAGGGAGGGAACAACTCCAACTTTTCAGGTAAGGATACACCGGGAGCACCAAGTTTGGTTCTGGGAGTCCCACACAAAGAGAGCATCGGAAGAGAGGAGAGTGATCACCTGAGAGTAGAAGGGACCTGCCCTCAAGAAGGGACACTTGGGGACTTCCCTAGTGGTCCAGTGGGTACGACTCTGCACTTCCAATGCAGGGGGTCTGGGTTTGATCCCTGGTCAGGGAACTAGATCCCGCATGCATGCCGCAACTAAGAGTTTGCATGCCACAACTAAGGAGTCCGCATGCCGCAAGTGAGACTTGGTGCAGCCAAAATAAATAAATAAATGTTTAAAAAATTAAAAAAAATAAAATAAAAGAAGGGACACTTGGGAATTTCCCTGGTGGTCCATTGGCTAAGGCTCCATGCTCCAAATGCATGGGGCCCAAGTTCGATCCCTGGTTAGGGAACTAGATGCCCACATGCCGCGGCTAAAGATCCTGCACGCTGCAACTAAGACCCAGTGCAGCCAAATAAATAAATAATTTTTTAAAAAAAGGGCTTCCCTGGTGGCGCAGTGGTTAAGAATCCGCCTGGCAATGCAGGGGACACGGGCTTGAGCCCTGGTCTGGGAAGATCCCACATGCCGCAGAGCAACTAAGCCCGTGTGCTACAACTACTGAGCCTGCACTCTAGAGCCCACGCGCCTAGAGCCCATTCTCAGTAACAGGAGAAGCCATGGTAATGAGAAGCCCATGCACCACAACGAAGAGTAGCCCCCACTCGCCACAACTAGAGAAAGCCCATGCGCAGCAATGAAGCTCCAACGCAGCCAAAGATAAAATAAATAAATTTATTTAAAAAAAGAGAAAAGAAAAAGAAGGGACACTCGGACTGTGGGGCCCAGAGTTTGCAGCTGGAACTCCTGTCCTGAGATAATATGAGGAATGGCCATTGAGAGGTTGGACTTGCTTTTCCTTGGGGCCCAGGGCCTTGTCTGGCCTCACAGGGCCTCTCCATCCTGGGAGCAGACAGCCTTGCTGGGGAGGATCTGGTCTGGGGGATTAGGAGGGCCATTCTTGGGCTCCTGACTTGTATTAGTTTCTCCTCTACACCCCACTGTTTTGGTATTTTCCGTTTTGGTATTTTCCACCTCCTCTGTCTTCCAGTCTCCAATATCCTTTCTCTGCTGGGGGCTGGACCATTTTCTTTTTTCTTTTTTTTAAAATTTATTTATTTATTTTTGGCTGTGTTGGGTCTTCGTTGCTGTGTGCGGGCTTCTCATTGCAGTGGCTTCTCTTGTTGCAGAGCACAGGCTCTAGGCATGCGGGATTCAGTAGTTGTGGCACGGGGGCTCAGTAGTTGTGGCTCACAGGCTCTAGAGCGCAGGCTCAGTAGTTGTGGTGCACGGGCTTAGTTTCTCCGCGGCATGTGGGATCTTCCCGGACCAGGGCTCGAACCTGTGTCCTCTGCATTAGCAGGTGGATTCTTAACCACTGCACCACCAGGGAAGCCCTGGATCATTTTCTGAAGCTGCAGGGCTGTTACTAAATACCTGCTTTGTGCCTCTGCCCGTCTTTTCAGGGCCTCTAAGACTGCTTGGTTCCACTTTAATTCATCCTAGACCACCAGCTTAGCTTAGCTTAGCTTCCAAGGGCAGGCAGGATCTGAGTCTTAGAGCCGACATTCCGTACAGTTGGGCACTTGGGATATTCCTAATAAAAATATTTTTGGTGCTTAAAGGTCAGAGCTGGGCTGAGAAGAGAGCCTAATAAAGGTGGGTTGGACTAAGGGCCTCAGGGCTGATGTCTACCCCCATGGCCTCTCCTAGGACCGAGAGGAGCGGAAGCTGCTGCTGGACCCTAGCAGCCCACCCACCAAAGCCCTCAATGGAGCCGAGCCCAACTATCACAGCCTGCCTTCCGCTCGCACCGATGAGCAGGCACTGCTCTCCTCCATCCTCGCCAAGACAGCCAGGTGGGCATCACAGGACCGGGCCTGGGGCAGACCTCCTTCATCCATATTAAAGACTGGGATGGAGAGCCAGGCCCAGGACGTGGGGGATGGGATAAGATCAGTGGGAAGAGGTGCCTCTGGGCCCAGCCCTGCTCCCGTGGGCAGGCAGGGACACTGGTGTCAGATAGCCCTGGAGTTGGCACCTGGCAGTGAGTCTTGTTTGTCCATCTCGGAAGCACCTGTTATGTCCTCTCTGCCTCTTCTCCCCAAAGCAACATCATCGACGTGTCTGCTGCAGACTCCCAGGGCATGGAGCAGCACGAGTACATGGACCGGGCGAGGCAGTACAGGTGAGCCTCTGGCCGGCTGGGATCCCTCAGGCTGCTTGGGCCCCTCCCTTCCCCTCCCTCTGATCCAGCTTTGGAGCCTGGGCCCCAGTCCGGGCTTCTCCTTTGGGTGTGGCCTGGGGGGTGGCCCCAAGTCACTTGGGTGCCTCAGTAGATGGTCCTGTTGAGCCAGTTTGCCCCATGACACTCAAGGGTATGGAGACTAAAGGAGGTCGGCCTGGAGTGGGTTTGTGGTGAGCTGAGGCTCCTGTCACCTACTTCTCTGGTCTGAGGAAGTGAAGCTTGCCTGGGCTGGCTGGGCCGACTGTGGCCTGACTGCCTGTCCCCCCTCCTCCCCCTCGGCCAGCACCCGCCTGGCTGTGCTGAGCAGCAGCCTGACCCATTGGAAGAAGCTGCCGCCGCTGCCGTCCCTCACCAGCCAGCCTCACCAAGTGCTGGCCAGCGAGCCTGTCCCGTTCGCCGACTTGCAGCAGGTGAGCCACCCCTCGCCCCGCCCCTGCCTGGGTGGCAGCGAGGCACAGGGTTCGCCCCTCCACCTCAGAGGAGGTAGGGAAGTGGAGTTAGGGAGCCTGGTAGCCTGTGGGCCCTGCTCACTCCCACCTCACTCTTACTTTTCTTCTTCTCCCCATCCCCTCTCTTAAACCTTCATTCTTTTGCTACCCTTTGTTCTTCCCTTCTGTCTTTCCCATCCCTGCCTTTCTCTTTGGCTCCCTGTCCCCCATCATTCCCTCTCTGGCCACCCATCCCCTCCGCCTGCTTCCGGATCTCCCTTCTCACCTGTCTCTCTGTTCCTCTCTCCCGGTCCCTCTGTCCCAGGTCTCCAGGATAGCTGCTTATGCCTACAGTGCACTTTCTCAGATCCGTGTGGACGCAAAAGAGGAGCTGGTTGTACAGTTTGGGATTCCATGAAGAGAGGGGTCCCTGGACAGCTCTTCTTCTCCTCTCTTCACTCCGTCTCCACCCTGCCTCCCCTGGCCCCCAGCCTCACTGTGGCTTATACAGTATCCTAACCTGCTACTAATCACAGAAGAAAGTGGAGGAGGAGGAGAAGAGTGAGGCGAGAAGCCTGAGCAAGTGAGGATGGAACAGGGGAGGGTAGAACCATTTGGGACTGGCCTTCAAAGCCCTGGCCACGGGTGGGGTGGGGGTCACAGGGACAGGGCCTGGTAGGTCTTCACTGTCACTGGGAAGGTGCAGGTGCCAGTGTGAGGGTGATCACTAGGGGGCCTCTTAGGACCCCCTGCCTACCCTTTCTTGGCCTCACTTCTGTCCCCCTCTCCCTGACTTGGTGCTCACATGCACCTCACGAGGGCTTGTGACCAGGGTCTGGATGAGCTTGAATTTGAATGAATTGAGTTTGTATTTCTAGCACCCTGGGTTTTTACATGTTTGGTTTTTTTTGTTTTGGTTTGGTTTGTCACCCTCGATAAAGGAAGTGTATCCATCTGTGTGCTGGTTCCAGCCCCTCTGTCCTGCCCACCCCACTACTACTTACTTCTGGCTACTCAAGTCTGTGAGCAGCGAGGTGGAGGATGGGGAGGGGGCATCTTCTAGGGGCACTAAAAGGAATCAAGGAGATAAGGCTTCAGGGTTCCCAGGTCTTAGCTGAGACTTGGCCTGCACTAACCTCAGATATGATAAGACTCAGCTTGTCCCTCCTCCAGTGATGGGAACACTGTCAAAGCTGAACTTGAATCTGAGGCAGCTCTCACTGTTGTGGGTATTGCCTCAGGCTCAGTGGAATTACCAAGAAGCCTGGTGAGGGAGTGGATGTATGCAGGGAGACCAACAGCACCTGGTACAGAGTCAGCAGACACATAGTTTCAAGCAGAAGATTCTTTTTATCAAGTGAAATCTTAAGTAGAATCGTGATATGTAAACACGACAGTGGAACTACTCTCATCTGATTGATTGAAGTGAGGGGTTCAGAGGTCACAGCCCATCTTATTGGCCTCCTGTCATGGAAGCCTCTGAGGCATCTCCACAGAACCTTGGTGCTCTGCGAAGCAACTCTAACCTCAGGATATCTGACCTAAAGAGTGAAAAGGGGCCCAGACAGGTTAGATAAGTTTCCCAAGGCCATGCAATCAGCCCAGGTCTCCTGCGTCCCAAGCCAGCAGGCCTCTCCTTCCACTTCCTCCTTGCTCCAGTGAAGTAAGACCAGAGCTACAGGCGCTTGCCTGAGTTGGGGGGCATCTTTACATGGTATAAGAGACTTCTGCTGAACAGCTCAAATCATTTATTGTCAAACCAAGCTGAGCATCCCCAGGCCTTCAGGACTGCTGGGGTCCCTGGAACCTCACAGTGCATTGTGCTTGATCCAGACCTTCTGGGGTTTGATGTTCATGCGTTTCCACACTTCAGCTGTTGAACGGTCTGCCTTGGTGACCCCACTGAAGTCGAACGTGGTGATACGGGGCAGAGTGCACAGCACATATTGCCTGTGGGGAAGACTTGGGCTGGGGGTCAGGCCCCCTTCTAGAACCCCTTTCCCCCTCCACCAGTCGCTCCTATCTCCTCTGACTGCAAGGAATGGAGGGACTTGAGTAGAGTGTGGGGGAGACTGAATTTATCCTGACTGACATCAAGAAATGCCTAAAGCCCTCTACTCCCTTCCCTGGTCCAAGCATAGCAGAAGGATGGTGTTAGGTTTCTAACCCTAACGCTCCTCCTTTCCCTCATGGGAGCCCAGCGGAGCCCACCTCCAGGCAGGGCACTTACCTATACCCCTTCTCTTCCTCTATGGGGTTCCCATGGAGTGTCAGGCTGCGGAGCCGAGGGAGGACAGCCAGCTTGTTCACCTCTCCAAGGCGCTGGATGCTGTTGCCATGGAGATAGAGCACACTCAAGTTGAAGAAAGTTGTCAGGACCTGTTGGGGAAGGAAACCGGAAGCTAGACTGGACAGAGCCGTGTATCTGTGCTCAGGACTGACTTGTGGGCAGAGAAGGAAGAGTTTGGGGAATGATTTGTCACCCCCAGAGCCGTACTAGATTGATTCCAACCTACTTTTATTTGCCTTTGAAGGGGTACAGGGGCACCACACTGACAGAGCACTGTGATCCGAGGGGCAGAAGGTATGGGCCTGGGTCCTATCACTGCCACTGACTTGCCAGGTGCCTGGGCTCTCCTGCTTCTCCTTGAGCCTTAGCTGTCCCTTCACTGAAGACCATTCCAGCTTTGGTGTTCTAAGATTCTTATCACAACAGGGGACAGGGGACAGCATCATGCTAGGTACATAAGAGCTTTTAAAATAGTAGTTAAATTGAGATCAGTGCACCTGGGGAACAGTTTACAAGTCATACTCTAACTCCTTTCCCCTCTAGCACAGATCCTGGATGAAAAGGGGCCAGTTTTGTTTGTTTCTTAAAATTTAGCCTGAGTTCATGGAAAGTAACTGCTGTACTTTTAGTACCTACCTCTGCAAAAGAACTTGGCACAAAGCACAGTAGGTGCCCAATAATAAGCTACGATTTTACTTCAGCCTCCTATGTGAAGGCTTGCTATGTGCCGGTTGCTTTTCATTTGTTCTCATTTAATCCTCACAAAATGTTTATAATGCTGGCATATTATCCCCATTTTTCAGACAGCAAGGCTGAGGTTTTGAAAGGTTAGGAGCTTGCCCAAGGTCACAAAGTCTGAGGCAGATCTAGTATTTGAACCTATATCTATTTGAGCCCACAGCCATGTGCTTTGCAGGGCACCATGCTGCCTCACTACTTCCTTGATAATATGTGGGAGGTGGAGAGGCTGGGGACTGGACAAGGTGGCTTCAGGTCCACCCTCTGGACTCACAGGGTCAATGGAAGTCAGGTCGTTGAAGGACAGGTCAATCCAGGCCAGGTTCTCTGGATGCTCCAGAAGCTGTGAAACCACATGGTTGAAGTCTCTGAGGTCATTGAGGACGTTGTTGTTCAGCCACAGGGACTGAGATATAGACTTCCCTGACTTTGCGTGCCTGAGTGGTCGTAGCCCTGTCCGTGGCTTCTCGTTTAACAGATCTGTGGGGACAGAGTGAACTTTGGGTATGTCATCTTTGCTTTTCTGGCTCGGGGTGGGGGGTGGCAAAGGAACAGAACTGGGAGAATTTGTAGCTAGAGGAGCTGGCAGGGCCAGAATCCCATGCTTGTGTCCAGTGCGACTGTATGCACTGCTCCCCAGGCCCCAGCAGTCAGAGTGAGCTTGGATTAAGGGTCAAAGACTTCACATCCCAAACTCTTGGTTTGGATCACGTGCTCCTCTCAGGTCTATTGTATCATTGGGTCCTCTGTATACCACCCCTGTATGGGAGTTGGAGGGAGGCGGATTTTATAGATGAGGAAACCAAGAAGCAGAGGTGTTGGACTTGAGCCAAGATGCTGAAGCACAAAATCCAGAATTATCCACTGGTAGAGCCTATAGAATTCACTTCAGTGTCACACACTCTTGATGTCCTCTCCCTCTTCCATTAGTATTGAGTATCTGCTGTGTGCCACATACTGGATATACAATGGTGAACAAAATGAGAGATGAGCTCTGTATGAATAATAGAGCAGGGGTGAAGCAGATGTTTATGCCTTGGAGGAGCTCAGATGGGAAAGATGAAAACAAACGGTGAATATACTATAATAAATGCTATTTAAATTGTGGAAGCACGGAAAAGGGTCTCCTAACCCAGTTTGGGAGCTTAGGGAAGTTTCCCAGGGAAGGTGAAGCCTGAGCTGGATATCTCAGTGGGTTAGGAGACGTTAACCAGGCAAAGAAGGGTGGAAAAGGTGAGAAGAGCATGAGCAAAGTTACAGAGGTATGGAATAGCATGGGCACGCACACACGTACTACACAAGGGGGCAAGGAGGGAAAAGGAGACACGGAGTCTTGAAAACCAGGCTGAGCATCTTAGACTTTATCCTGTAGAAGATGGGAAGCCACTGTAGGGTTGAAAGCAAAGGAGATGATACAGCTCTCTCAATTCAGAAAGATCACTGAAGGTTTAGTGTGGAGCATGGATTGTAGGGAGTGGGTGGGACTGGAAGACCAATTTGGCTCTTTCAGTCATTTAAGCAAGGATGAGGGACATACAAACAGCATGACTTGATGGTTGACTAGATGCAAGGGTAGAATAATATTCAAGGGTGTTGGGACTTCCCTGGCGGTCCAGTGGTTAAGACTCTGCACTTCCAACACAGGGGATGCAGGTTCAATTCCTGGTCTGGGAACTAAGATCCCACATGCTGTGTGGCGCGGTTAAAAAAAAAAAAATATTCAAGGGTATTGCCCAATGTTCTTGATGACTGGTGAGATGCCAGTCCTATGAACTGATACAGGATTAAGAAAAGGAGAAGAGGGACTTCCCTGGTGGTCCAGTGGTAAAGAATCTGCCTTCCAGTGCAGGGACGTGCATTTGATCCCTGGTCGGGGAACTAAGATCCCACATGCCGCAGGGCAACTAAGCCTGCGCACCACAACTACTGAGCCTGCGTGTCTCAACTAGAGAACCCGCGTGCCGCAAACTACAGAGCCCGCACACCACAACTAAAGAGAGGAAAAACCCACACGCCACAACTAGAGAGGAGCCCACACGCTGCAGCAAAGAGCCGCGTGTGCCGCAACGAAAAGATCCCACATGCTGCAATGAAGATCCCGCGTGCCACAACTAAGACCCCACGCAGCCAGAAAAATAAATAAATCAATCAAAAAAAAAAGAAAAAAGAAAAGTTGGGAAGGTGATGAGTTCAGGCTTGGCCTTGGCATATCTGAGGTTCCTATAGTACTAGAAAGAGGAGAAGCCGAGTAAGCAGTTGGATATGAAGGAGACATAGACTTGAGAATCATTAGCATAGAGTGTATACAAGTTAGAGAAATAGATAAGATTCTTCAAGCAGAACGAGGGTGGGGGGAGGGGCATCCATTAAAGAAGTTAAGAACCAGGGCAGGGAGAACCAGGAGGCTCACAGTCTCAGTGGCAGAGTCAGAACCATACACCAGCTCTGGCTGAGGTGACTAGATGCTTCCTGTTGCCTCTATGCCTTTAGTTACTTGTCTAAAGCTGCCTCTCAGAAAGGAAGTAGTACTTTCTGAACTGGTCCACTTGTCTTCACCCTCTCCTCAGCTCTTACTAGACACACTTCTCTTTCACCCCCACCCAGCTTGAACTTTTTCTCCTCAGCTGCAGGTCAGGCAGCATCCACCAGGTGGCTCTCTGTCTTGGTCCGGGAGTGAGTGGACCCACAGTTGGGGCCTGAGGGTGGGGGGGAGGTGGCAGGAGGGTCATGAAGCGGAGTACCCCAGCTCGTGAATAAACCCTAATCCTGACCCCCAGCCTCACATCGCCTGACTGCAAACCCTGAAATGAAAAGAGAGATGAGTAAAAGTTAAGATCAAAATAAGCCCACCTACGGACTAGCCTCCAGTCTGGTGAGGCAGCAGCTTGGGGAATGCCAGCAAGCATGGGCTGATCCCCAGCTCAGGGGGAGCCACTGGGGATGGCATTGCCTAGAACTTGAGGCTGCCTGGGATTGCTGTTATCATGGGTGGAGGAGGGTGTCCACGCTGCTCTCCGCAGACTCCATCAGAGCACTGCATTGCCTGAGGATCTGTCAAAGCTGCCCTGTTCAGAGTAGGCCAAGGCGGGTCTGGAAATTGGACCACAGATATCAACACTCAGAGAACTAGGGGTTGTCTAGCCCCAGGAAGATCTGGGGAAGACATAATTCTGTCTTCATATCTATGAAGGGTTGCCATGCAGCTTTTCCCACGTGTCCACAGAGAACACGTGTTTGATGTGAAGAACTTTCTTGTGTCATTCCTCACCCTGTAATGGAAGGGCTGGTAGGTGTGTGGTATGGGACTCCCTTAACTGGGTTTGTGAGCAGTTAGAGCACTATGGGTTGGAGGTAGTAGACTGGATGCCTTCTAAAGTCACTGCCATTTCAGATTCTATGATCCATATATTGATTAATTCAGGAAATAGTGTACCAGGTACCCCAAAACTCTACCCTGTCCTCTAACCCCAATTTTAAGTAAGTGTGCCAAATGCCCTGGGGAACCTGAGGGGACTGGCCTTTTGGGGCTTAGATGTGCCTCTCCTTCTCCCTTCCCCACTCAGCAAGGAGCATATGCCTGGCATACGTGTACAGACCTAAACACACATATATAGAAGGCTTAATAATAGTGGGTGCTCAAGATTTAACTGTTAAATGAAAGACAGGGCATCTGTGCAGATTATGTTTTGTGCTGTGCAGTTATCCTTGGTCATAGTAACTTGTCTCTCCCCTCCTTCTGAGGACACCATAGAGGGCTAAGCCACACTCCCCACTCAGATCTAGGAATTCTCAGGGTAGGTAGGAGCCATACTTCTCTCCTTCCTCTGTCACCTCAGCTATCTTGTACATAGCCATTATTGCAGCTAAAACCCTGTGAAACATGGACTACATCAATCAGAAGTGACGCTGTGCATAATAAAGGAGGATCACGGCAAGTGGGTGTGTGCTATGAGAGAACAAATGGGAGTTACTGTTGTAGCTGACGGCAACCCAAGTAGTAAGTACCCTAAACCCAAACCCAAGTAGTATCCAGTACCCTTGATAACTATTCATGTGCTTCCTGAACTTAAAGGTGGCCGCTGCTTGCCTAAGAGAGTCGACCAAAGCCAGATAATGGCTCTAGGTTATGTTGATGCCAACTTGTGTTCTGTGAAGGCAGACGTACTGATGTGTTTATGAGAGCAGATAACAAAGACAGCAGAACTTCCCTGGGAAGAAGCACATTCTCTTGAGAATATGATCTTGATGAGAGCCTCCCTCTGTCCCCTCCTGAAAGGTACTAGCTGCCCATTTACACACACACTGAATGATAAAACAGGAATGAGCGTGGGCAGTGCTGGGACCTGTAATAAGTGTGGGTGATAATGGAATAAATTTGGATATGACTGAAATGAATATAAAATTTGTCAATAAATATTTAGACTGGAAACATGCCAGTTTGTTAATAACAAGACCTTACATGTTTTACCAGTGATCAGAACAGGCTTGTGTCCTCAGAGTGGGTTCTGCCTGTTGGCTGGACTCTGTAGCAGCCTGTGTTTTCCTTTCATTAGTCTCTTCTCTCCAGGTAAAAAGTGGAGAATATACTATTGGCTGATAGACTGGCTCTCCTGTTTTCTTCCACCTGACTGTCTTGCTGTAGCCTGGCTTCTTTTGAAGATCATCAGTTACCCTGAAAGCCCCCTGGGTCCTTTCAGATTTGCTGGTAATTTTTTAAAAGGCCAAACGCTTCCACTCCCACCTTCCTACCCACTACTCTCCCCAAAATAGCAGCAACAAATATCCCATATGCTTATGCAAAGAATCTCTTTAGGCTTTTAAGTAGAAGACTGGCTTCTCCCTAGGGACCACACCCATCCTGCTGCCATGGTGAGTGGAATGCTGTGCTCTGGGGGCTGACCTTGGGTCACGTGGATGTTTCGGAAGGAGTAGTCCACAGGGGGCTCTTGCACCGAAGTGTTCGTATAGTCCTGTTTGTTCATAACTCAAGCCATCATTTGTCAGGTGGAAGCATGGGCCCTGGGAATCCGGGTTCAGCCTGGGAGGACAGAGAAGGACTGGTGTTTGGCCCTCAGGTTTCCTCATAGCTCTCCACCCCTGCTATATACCCTCCACTACTCCAGGTTTGCATGGCTGCATTTCTACTTTAAGATAACAATCATGATTCCTTGCATTTGTAGGGCACTTCCTACTTCTCTGAGCACCTTCACATCCCTTAGAGTTCATTGATAGTTATAATACCCATTTCTACTTTCCAAAGAAACTGAGGCCCCAGGGTGAGAGCACTTGCCCAAAGTTAAGCCAGTGAGTCAGCTGTGGACTACAATCCTAGTCTTCTGAATCTTACTCTGAGTCCTTTTCTGCTACTCCATAGTAGTTGCCATGAAGGCTGTCTTTATAGCTACCCTCTGGTGACATCAACTGGGCTATTCTATTGCTTAACAAACCCCTGAGGGCCTGCACTGGATCTGGTGTCTGACAGCCCTTTGCAGTCTGACCCATATGGGGATCTGCTACCTTCTCTGCTCACCTTGTCTGTCGGCCCCATCATCTTTTCATCGGAAGACCCTACTTTCAGCTACGTCCTGAATGTAGTCATACATATATAAACATACATACATATAAGACCAGAGTCTGCCTCACTCTCACTCACCTGTCACTGATGCCTGAAACTCCACCATTAGGGATTCATTCCTTTGGGTTCAGGGATTGTTCCCTGTTAAAATGGAAATACCCCTTGAGAGGGGTGAACACAGTGTTATCAGTCATTTACAATGTGGTGTGAATTGTCTTATCAGATCCTTTCCAATTTATTAGCTCAAATAAAGCTGAGAATTTTTCGACTGGGCAGAGCCATGAGAACACCACTCACCTGTGAAGAGGAGAGCTGACACAAACAAAAGACAAATAGACTGACAAATACATGTCCCAGTCAACCTCCCCTTCTCACTTCATCCACTACTGTCACCTCCTTTGCATTTACTACTTTACTTGCTTTCCAAAAGGATTTGAGGTATTTTATGGTAATAACACACTCATAAAACAGGATGATTTGTAGAACAGAGCTGTCCAACAAATATAATGAACATCACAAATGCAAGCCATGTGTATATATTTTTTCCACATATGTAATCTAAAATTTTCTAGTAGAAAAGTCAAAAGAAACAGGTGAGGTTATGTTTAATAATATATTTTATTTAACCTAATATATCCAAAATATCATTCAACATATAATTGATATTAAAATTTGAGATACTTTACACTTACAGCACATCCCAACTGGGACAAGCTACCTGTCAAGTGCTTAATAGCCACTTGTGACTAGAGGCTACCATACTGGACAGTACAGATATAGAAAATGAAAACATGGAAGAGAAAGATTAGAAGCCAGAATAAAGGAAGAGAGAGAGATGAACCAGGGAATTAGGAAACTATGCCTCTATTTATCCCTGAAATTCCTGGCAAGTAAAGCAAAAGTGGAAACCTTAGTATATGTGGTTCTCATCATTCAATTCAAAGAAACAATTTGTATCCAGAGACTATGAAATTCACAAATGTTCTTAAAATGGAATTCCTCTTAAAAAACCATGGACCTGAGAGCTTATAATTCAGCTTAAGCTTAACACAGTCTAGGTAAATTCCTTTTTTGGTGACTTAACATATGAAGGATAGAGTTTAACAGGTTTAGAGGAATGGAAAGTGAATGTCTTCCTCTCAAAAAGCAGCAGTCTCAACTGAGCTTTGGGTAAGTGATGGCTTGAGTCACTTCACAGATGAATTCTCTGTCAAGTGTGAGACTGGCCTGATGGGCATGGGTTGTTGATTGGGGAGACCTGAATCTTTGGATATCAAATCTACAGACACAACAAAGAACACATTATTCTTTTGTAGAAATAGAGGAAGCTGGCTTGCTTCTCACCTAGATGCGTCCCACTTGAGAACCCACAAGAAGTTTGATGCCTCTGAGCAAGACTGGATACTTTTCTCAAGTTGGGACCCCAGAGTTCAGCACTACAGGACATGGATTTTAGCTTAAAACATTTAAGGGCGGATTTTTACCATTAATCTTGACCATCAGAGAACCTCAGTGCAGTTCCAAAGGACTTCTGATTTTGTGTAGCACCAGCTCCTGAAGCATTTTTCTGGATGAGTTAGTATTAAAAATAGAGCCCTGGGGCTTCCCTGGTGGCGCAGTGGTTAAGAATCTGCCTGCTGATGCAGGGGACACGGGTTTGAGCCCTAGTCCGGGAAGATCCCCCATGCCGCGGAGCAACTAAGCCCATGTGCCACAACTACTGAGCCTGCACTCTAGAGCCCACAAGCCACAACTACTGAGCCTATGTGCCACAACTACTGAAGCCTGCGCGCCTAGAGCCTGTGCTCCGCGACAAGAGAAGCCTCCACAATGAGAAGCCCGTGCACTGCAACAAAGAGTAGCCCCTGCTTGATGCAACTAAAGAAAGCCCGAGTGCAGCAACGAAGACCCAATGCAGCCATAAATAAATACATAAATAAATTTATTTATTTATTAAAGATAAAATGGAGCCCCAAGTAGTTCGACAAATTTGCCCGTTGGAAAGGGTTATTAGTCTTCTCCATTTAAACACCAGCCCAGGCTGTGAGCTAGTGTTGTGTCTTATTCATCATCTAACACAGAACCTGGCTTACAGCAGGCACTCAGGAAATGCTTGTGGGAGGAATGAATGAGAAACTGCCAAATACAAGGATTTCTGTTTTGGGGGTGTTGATGCTAAGCTGCACTTTCTAACAATTGGCTCCGAGGTTCAGCTATTTCAGTCCACACCTCATTCACAGTAAGATATTTAATTCAATTCTTCAAACATTTGTTCAGCGCCTGCTGCCCTATGCTTGACCAGAAGGAATGAAGCCAAGATACAAATAATAGAACCCTGTCTGTAAAGAGCACAGGAAATCCTGCTGGGTTGCTATTGATTGTGGCAAACCAGCCTGCATCCAGTTCTAAGAAACAGCTGCCTACTTAGTGAATACTCTCATGTTTCAGTACTCAGCTCTAGCATACCCTCTTTGATGAAGACTTTCTTTCCAGATAAAATTGATCATTGTGCCCTGTATCAGATTGATTCCCTTGATGAACTCTATCATGGTCTCCCCTGTATCCATCTCTTTTGCCCTCTTTGTAGTTCCATCCACTCTGATGCTGGGTTCAGCCATGCGACTTGCTTTGGCCAACAGGATGTTGGTAAACATGAAGCAAATAGAAGCTTAAAGAGAGGACTTGCCCTGTGCTCTTTGCCAGTGCCAAGAGAACATGGTTAGCCTGCTGGAGGGATATGAGAAACGTGTAGGTGAGATACGTGAAAAAGAAAGCCAGTGATCCCAGGTGAGGCCATCCTAGACTAGCCTATAGCCAGCCTACCCGAAGGCAAGATCACGAGAGTCACCCAACCCACATGTGACTGCAAACACATGAATGAGCCCTGCCAAGACCAGAAGAAACACATGGCTGACTCGGAGGCTTGGAAGCAATAGTAAGTGTTCATTGTTTTAAGCCACCATGTTTTTGGATGGTTTGTTATACAACAATAACTAATTGATATATGCCCCCACTGTACTTTGAATAAAATTTCATCACAGCCTGTTTCCTTATCTGTAAAATGGAGACAAACCCTGTCTTGAGAGCTGTTGTATGTCCTGTAGCAGGTGTTCAATAAATTGAACCAGTTGTACTCTCTGTACTCATTTCTTTATAACCTACTTCCTGTTCCCTCCCTGTAAGCTTGAGGACAGGGAAAGAAGTCAGACTTCTTTCTCTCTTCCCACCATTACCCTGCACCAAGCCTGGGTATTCACTAAAGCCTTGATGGATAAATGGAGAAATGAAAGAAATGAAGGAATAAATGAATGATATCTTCAAGGTGTCACATAGTGAACCTGACTGCTGGGGAGAACTGACGAGCCTTGAGGTTGCCTTACTCGCTCCAGTGGCTATGTTTTTGGAGTCAGTCTTTCCCAGCTGCTGTTCAGCCTCATCACCAGGAGCTAGTCAGACCCTAGCGCCTTCCTCATTTGTCTACGTTGACTGAATTGATGAATGACAGGGTTAGGGGCATACCTGCTCTGTTTTGGAGTTTTTCTTCTCCCGACTGGAAATATCATTTACTGTTTTTCTTTCTTTTTTTTTTTTGCGGTACGTGGGCCTCTCACTGTTGTGGCCTCTCCCGTTGCGGAGCACAGGCTCCGGACGCGCAGGCTCAGCGGCCATGGCTCACGGGCCCAGCCGCTCCACGGCATGTGGGTTCTTCCCGGACGGGGGCACGAACCCGTGTCACCTGCATCGGCAGGCGGACTCTCAACCACTGCACCGCCAGGGAAGCCCTACTGTTTTTCTTTTTTAATTTTAAAAGTTAACGTGATAGCTGAATAAAGTCAAACAACATAGATACATCAAGTGAAAACGAAAAGTGTGGCTCTCCAAGAACGCTCATGATTTACAGTTTGGGAATATAACCTCCTAGAAGACATATATAACAAACTTATGTATATTTTAAAATAAACACATACTTTCTGTTCCTTTGTAAAGCTACTTTTTTCTTTTCAAATTGTTGTAGACTCTCTTACCCTTTTTAATAGCTGCAGAGTGTTCCATAGAATTTGTGTGTACCCTACTTTAACTTTACTTGGGCTCCCCCAGTGATGCAGTGGTTAAGAATCCGCCTGCCTGTGGCACATATATACAATGGAGTATTACTCAGCCATAAAAAGAAACGAAATTGAGTTATTTGTAGTGAGGTGGGTGGACCTAGAGTCTATCATACAGAGTGAAGTAAGAAAGAGAAAAACCAATACCGTATGCTAACACATATATATGGAATCTAAAAAAAAATAAGTGGTACTGATGAACCTAGTTGCAGGGCAGGAACATAGAGAATGGACTAGAGGACTTGTAGTGGGAGGGGGAAGCTGGGGCGAAGTGAGAGTAGCATTGACATATATACACTACCGGATGTAAAATAGTTGGCTGGTGGGAAGCAGCAGCATAGCACAGGGAAATAGGTTTGGTGCTTTGTGATAACCTAGAGGGGTGGGATAGGGAGGATGGGAGGGAGGCTCAAGAGGGAGGGGATATGGGGACGTGTGTATGCATATGGCTGATTCGCTTTGTTGTGCAACAGAATCTAACACAGTATTGTGAAGCAATTATACTCCAATAAAGATCTATTTAAAAAAAAATAAGGCCTGGGAGTCAGAAGAAAAAAGAAAAAAGAATCCGCCTGCCAATGCAGGAGACACAGGTTCGAGCCCTGGTCTGGGAAGGTCCCACATGCCGTGGAGCAAATATGCCTGTGCGCCACAACTACTGAGCCTGTGCTCTAGAGCCCACGAGCCACAACTACTGAGCCTACGCTCTAGAGCCCGTGAACCACAACTACTGAAGCCCACGCACCTAGAGCCCGTGCTCCGCAACAAGAGAAGCCACCGCAATGAGAAGCCCGCCCACCCCAATGAAGAGTAGCCCCCGCTCGCCGCAACTAGAGAAAGCCTGCGCGCAGCAACGAAGACCCAACGCAGGGCTTCACTGGTGGCTCAGTGGTTGAGAGTCTGCCTGCCAATGCAGGGGACAAGGGTTCGAGCCCTGGTCCGGGAAGATCCCACATGCCGTGCAGCAAATAAGCCCATGTGCCACAACTACTGAGCCCGTGCGCCTGGAGCCCATGCTCCGCTACCAGAGAAGCCACCGCAAAGAGAAGCCCGCGCACCACAACAAAGAGTAGCCCCCACTCGCTGCAACTAGAAAAAGCCCGCGTGCAGCAATGAAGAACCAATGCAGCCAAAAATAAAATTAAATAAATAAAATTATATATATAAAAAAACTTTACTGGGCTTCCCTGGTGGCACAGTGGTTGAGAGTCCGCCTGCCAATGCAGGGGACACGGGTTCGTGCCCCGGTCCGGGAAGATCCCACAAGCCGCAGAGAGGCTGGGCCCGTGATCCATGGCCGCTGAGCCTGCGCGTCCGGAACAGGCTCCGTAATGGGAGAGGCCACAACAGTGAGAGGCCCGTGTACCAAAAAAAAAAAAAACTTTACTTAATTTAACTTCATTTAACCAATCCCAAGTTGATGATGGAAATTTGTTTTTAGTTTTTGGAAATTGCTAACAATTGGAATTTGATTTGTTGATAGCCTGTCTCTTCTCTCTCTCAGGTAAGTAGCAACATTATGGCCCAGGAAGCTGTGAGGAATATTGAGATGAAGAGATCTGATAGGAGATTCAACAGCCTGGCCTAGTGAGGGTTTCTATTTATGGGCTACAGGTGGAAGAAAAACCAAAGACCGTCATGAAAAGTCTTCCACATAATCTAATGTATTCTGGGAAGTTATATTTCTAGGTGCCAAAGGTAGGCCCCAAATTCAAACTGGTTCCTGCCCATCTCTCTACTCCCATCTCTTATCCTCACCTCCAATTCTGCAGGCCAGCCAAATGCAACTACTCGGAGTAAGTTCCCTGCACCTGCCTCTGGGCTTCTGCACATCCAGCTTTCTCTGCTTGGAGTACAGTTTCTTCTTTTTGCCTTGCTAATTTTTAATGACTCAGCTCCGGGTTCCCTTTTTTCTGAGGAGCCTACCCTCATGCCCAAGTCTGGATGTGCGACTTCTCTTCTGGACTCCCATAACACCCTATATTTACCCTTGGTAGCACTCGTAACACTAGTATTATCTCCTTACTATCTGTGTGTACATAAACTCCACCAGGGCAGAAGCCATGTTTTTCTCATGGTTGTATCCTGACAGTGGAGGCAAGTAGTAGGTACTTAACAATATGTTAAACATTGCAACAGTGAATAACACTATAAAGGAGAGGGACACGACGTTGCTATAATTGAGGGATCTGAGCTGCTCTAGGCAGTCAGGGGAGATAGTCCTAAAGAAGTGATTGAGAGGGACCTCCCTGGCGGTCCAGTGGTTAAGACTCTGCGCTTCCAATGCAGGGGCGTGCGGGTTCATCCTTGGTGGGGGAACTAAGATCCCACATGACACGCAGCTCGGCCAAAAAAAAAAAAAAATAGTGATCGAGAGAAATATGAAGGATACGTACAAATTAACTATGGCAGAGGGAAAAGATGAACATTCCAGGAAGAAATAACAGCATGTGCGAAGGCTCTATGGTAAGTGGTTACTTGAAATTTTGAAGGCCTTAGAGAAGGCCATATAACTGGAGGGAGAGTGGGAGGGAAATGTATGGTTAGACTGGAGGCTGGAGAGGTCGGTAGGAGCCAAGCTGAGATGTTGCTTGATGCTAAGAGCAATAGGAATCCCAAGGTATATTTTTAATTGGGGGTATTGTGGGGAAAGTGAACAATATCAGATTTGCATTTTGAAGGATTACTCTGGTTGCAGTATGCAAGATGGCTCGGAGGGAAGGCAGGAAGGATGTGATGGTAGCTACGACTAGAGAAAAGATACTAGGAGTAAAGCTGACAGGATTTTATGATGGATGGGAAATGAAAGAGGTATTAAAGATAATGCTTGTTTTTTTGACTTCTGTAATGGTGGACAGAGGTGAGAACACTGGAAGAAATTCAGGCTTGGAGTACATAGGGATTACGAGTTCAGCTGCAAACATGTTGAGTTTGGATGTTTTTGAGATATCCTGAAGGAGATGTTGAAGATGCAATTGGTTATATAGATCTGGAGCTTGGAGATGAGGGTTGGGTGGGGTTGGAGATACACACTCCCGTACATCTGCATATAGGTTGTAAATGAAGTTGTGGATGTGGATGAGAACATCCAAGAAGAGAGTCTTAGAGTGAGGTGGGAAGTGGGCCTAGGACCAAGCATGGGGAAGCTTTAAGACAGTAAGTGGACCAATCAGGGCCAGCTAGGAGCCAGCCAGAAGCTAACTAATCATGGCAGCATCAGACATGGGTGCTGTGTTAGCAAGACTGTTTACTTCTTGTTTAGTTAAATCTGTTTGATTCCCATTGTCTTTAGTCTCTCTAGTTCTCTTTCCCCATTTAAACTTTCAAGGAAGGATATGAAACCCATTCAGGCTGAAATGTAAATAACTCAATGTAGGCGATACAAGTTTCTTTTCCCTGGGGCAGTTTATCTTACTACTTTGAACAAGTCCTTAAGCTAGAGAGGCTGTAGGCTCAAGCTAGAGACTTGGCTGGAAGTTGGCAAACAGGGGTCTAGTCCTAGCTGTCACTGACTTGGTGTGTGGCCTCCAGCAAGTCACTGCTCCTCTCTAGGTTTCAGTTTTCCAATCTGTGAAATGGGGATAAACATCCTTGGACTCACCAAGCTCAAAAGAAAGACTGGATGTGAAGACACTGGGTAAGTTGTAACAGATCTGTCATGAAGACTGTAAAAGGAGTGAAGCTCTGACTGCAGAACTTGGAGAAGCAGACCACAGAGGAGGTGTAGGGAGAAGAGGTAATTTAAGGACAGGACCCCTAATAAGTATGTGTGGGAAGATCCTGCTGACTCTCTGAAAAGGAGGCTCTACCCTTCGGTCTTCCTGCTTGGAAGGAAAGGGGCAGTTCAAGCCCCAGAAAGTTTCCTACAAATCCAGAATTAGGGACTGTGATTTATTCTAATCTTACTCCCATGTCTTGAAGAGGGTCTCAGTCGACCAGAGGAAAACCAACCCCATGTCTGAAGGCGTTTCAGATCTGCCAAGATGTGTCAGGGATTTGAGACAGTAGTATTAGGGGGTCCCATCTTTGTGATGGGGGAGGTTCTTAAGCACCCCCAAATCTGTCTGGGTATGTGTCTCAGCCTTCCCTTCCCTCCCCGCGCCCGTCTATCCCATATGGGTTTGTGTCTTGTTCACTGCGAAAAGGGATAAGGGGTAAGGCGGGGAGGTCTCAGGCCCCCGAGAAAGGAAGATCTTAGTCTTTCTGGGTGCCCCTCCCCTCTCCATAGAGTTCTTGTCCCCTAGAGCAGGTTTCCTGTTTTCCCGCCCAACTCACCCGCAGTTGCTTCCCCTCCAGCCTCTGCGTCCCACTATCTCAGGGTTACTCAGAGCAACTCTATGGTAACTACCTATGTCACCACGTCGCAGCTGAGCGCCGTAGGCGCTGCCGCGATGCCTACCGGGAGCTGTAGTCCGTCAGGGGCTGGGTTCCAAGGCCGCGGGCAGTGCAGCTATTTGTACTTGCCTTCGCCCTCAAGCCGAGGGCCGGGGTCCGGAAGTTGTGACACCCTTTCTCCCTTTCCAGTGGCCCTCACACTTCCTTTTCCCGGGTCCTCCAGCGTGCTCTTGCGTGCGACGCCAGCCGACAGGGGCCAATTGAAGGGCGGTGCGAGGGGGCGGGGCCATAGTTTAAACTAATTGTGTGCTTACGGCGCTGGCGCGAGCCCGCGACCAACGCAATCCGGGGAAAGCCAGAGTAGGAGCGGGAGAGCGGGGCCAGGTAACCGCTGCTGGCGTGTGGTTTGGGCGCCCGCAGGGATGCCCGGGCCCAAGGGGGATGCTGGAGAGGCGGGTGTGAGCGGAAGGGCTCCTTCGTAACCGAGGCTGACTGGGGAGAGTCTATCTAGGGTAAGGTTTGTGAGGAGAGGGCCCTGTCCGAGGGGGAGGTGCCGGGCGTGCTTAGGGGGGAGGGTCTGTTTGGGGGCGTGTCCGTGGAATCGTGTCAGAGGGCTACGCGAGTGCCGGTAATGCGGGTTCCTGAAAGGCTCGTCGCCGAGGGTTCCTGTAGTGGGAAGGCTTCGCCTATTATTGTTAACAATAGTGGTAGTAGTAATAAACATTTTCTCAACCCCAACGACGTTTGAGACATTGTGCCACACCCTTTATATGGATCTTTTTAATATTCCTAACAGCATTATTATACTTTATTACAGATGGGCCATCTGAGGTTTATGTTCAGCTTGGCCAGGTTTGCATAGATAGTGCGTGGTTGGCTATACCGGGGTTTTTGTGGAGTTGGGCTTAAGTGGGGGGGGGGAGGGGCTGTGTTGGCGGTGCGGGTTGTCTTGGACTAACGAGTCAGTTTATTTTGAGCCTCACTTTTCACTTATGATGTAAACAACGAATTTACCTGCCTTACCTACTTTCCTGGGGTGGTTCTGAGGGTGAAATCAGGTAAGCTGTTTCTTGGAAGCATCTTGGAGAGTAAACATTTTTGACTATAAGTGATGTGACTGTGTGAAGGTTTTTGTTGGAAGAGAGCCCAGCTGGGTTGATGCTGCCTCTTCTGGGCGCCCTCTTTTGCTTACACCTGAGATAGCGCTTTTCATCTGGTATTTGTTTGTCTCCCCTACTAGATAGAGACGGTGTCTTTTGTACCTCCATCCTCATGCCTATGCAGGGTGTGAAATGTATCATGGTCATTAACGTATGCTTTGAAATGAATGAGCTTACTTGGGCTGAAAAGGGATAGGAGCCTGGCTTTTCCATCTGTATTTAGTGGCTTTTGAACCTCTTACTATGTCCTCTTGCCTGGAAGGGCACTGCCTTCGAAAAATGTGATAATACTTACTTTAACGCATGCTTACCTTTCTCTGGGGTCTGTTGCCTGGTCATGTGTTTCTAAAGTTCTGGATAATCAAGTGTGGTGAGCAGAAACCTTTGATGAGAAGGGAATTGGAGCTCTACATTGTGGAGATCTTTACTGCTGTGAATATATGGGAACCTTGAGGGAATGTTCACATCAAGTAAGGCATCTTTCAGCCAGCAGGGATGAATGTATGTGTTCCCTCCCTCTCTGTTCCTGTGTGGTATTTTCTCCTTCAGAGGAAGAGGAACATACTTCTTAGTAAAAGCTGCCAAAGTATTCTCTTCTTGGCCCAAGTTCAAGCAAGTGATGACTAATTGTAAAGCCTGAATTACAGTCTAAAGCCCCAAACTGTACTCCCCCAAACTAGAAGATCTTAACCAAAAGCTCATATAAGGAACATTTCTATTTAGAATGTTCATTTTTTAATTTATGGAATATGGGAGTGGGAAGAATGCCTTGAACTAAAACTTGAGTTCTAGAACTGTTAGGATAGGGGAAAGCCCTGCCACAGATGGATAAACAGAGCTGATCAGGGAATGTTTTGACAGCTGTGTCTAATTGATAAAACCCTATGGTCAATAGGTATGTCAGGGGTCATTTATTTCAGCCTCTTACCCAGTTTACATTAAACATATCGAAACATATTGTCCAGACTCAAAATGAGCATTTCCAAGAATGAGACCACTTCCAAAGGTAGTCATCTTAATGTTAGAACAATTCTAATAAATAATAATTGTTTTGTGCTGTCACTGATTATTTCATTTTACCCATATACATTTACTGTTTGTTTTTTCATTATTCTTTCTTGCGTTTTATCCCTTCTTTTTGTGTCAAATAGATGAATACATCCTTCAGTTTTTTGTTTTTTGGGGGTTTTTTTGGCCATGCCAGCGGCATGCGGGATCTTAGTTCCCTGACCAGGGATCGAACCTGTGCTCCCTGCAGTGGCAGTGCGGAGTCCTAACCACTGGACCACTGGGGAATTCCCCCTTCAGATGTTTTCTTAGTGAGGGTCTGTTAGTGGTAAATACTCTGTTGGAAAATATCGTTATTTCCTTGTCAGTCTTGATCGATAGTTTAGCTGCGTACTAGGCTTCCAATTATTTTTTTTCCCAGTGCTTTGAAAATGTCATTTTACAGAAATTCTGGCTTTTTGTTGTTACTCTTGAGAACTGTGCTCACAATTGAACTATTATTTCATTGTATGTAACCTGCCTTTTTCTCTGTTTTTTTTTAAGATCCTTTTTTTTTGTCATTTGTGTTCTGCAGTTTCATTACATGGTGTGGATTTAATTTTATCCTACTGGGGGCTTATAGTGATGCCTCAATCTGAGATTTCATACCTTTCAATTTTGTAAAAATTCCCCTCTTTATTTAAAAAAAATGTTTTTCCGGGCTTCCCTGGTGGTGCAGTGGTTAAGAATCCGCCTGCTAGTGCAGGGGACGCAGGTTCAAGCCCTGGTCCAGGAAGATCCTACGTGCCCCAGAGCAACTAAGCCCATGCACCACAGCTACTGAGCCTGCACTCTAGGGCCCGCGAGCCACAACTACTGAAGCCTGCGCGCCTAGAGCCTCGTGCTCCGCAACAAGAGAAGCCACCGCAATGAGAAGCCCCCATTTGCTGCAACTAGAGAAACCCCGGGCGCAGCAACAAAGACCCAATGCAGCCAAAAATAAAATAAATTTTTAAAAAAACCAAAAAAGTTATTCCATCTGTCACTATACAAAAATATTACATTACTGATTATATTCCTCACACTGTACAGTTAATACCCGTGACTCACTTATTTTGTAACTGGAAGTTTGTATCTCTTAATCTCCCTCACCTATTTTTCATCCCCCCAGTCAGCTTCCCTAGCAACTACCTGTTTGTTCTCTGTGACTCTTTCTGTTTTGTTATGTTTTTTAGATTTCACATATAATTGAAATGGTACAGTATTTGTCTCTCTCTGTCTGACTTATTTCACTTACCTAGTACCCTCTAGGTCCATCTGTGTTGTCGCAAATGGTAAGATTTCATTCTTTTTTACAGCTGAGTAATATTCCATTAGATATATGTACCACATCTTCTTTATCCATTCATCTATCCATGGGCATTTAGATTGCTTTCATATCTTGGCTATTATAAATAATGCTGCAATGAACATAGGGGTGTATATATCTTTTCACCTCGTTTTTGTTTTCTTTGGATAAACACCCAGGAGTGGAATTGCTGGATCATATAGTAGTTCTGTTTTAATTTTTTGAGGAACTTCCATATTATTTTCCATAGTGGCTGCACCAGTTTACATTCTGCCAACAGTGCCAGAGGGTTCCCTTTTCTCCACATCCTCCCCAGGACTTGTTGTTTGTTGTCTTTTTGATAATAGCCATTCTAACAGGTATGAGGTGATATCTTATAGTGGTTTTAATTTGCATTTCCCTGATGATTAGTGATGTTGAGCATCTTTTCATGTGGCCATTGGCCATCTGTTTGTCTTCTTTGAAAAAAATGTTCAGGTCCTCTGCCCAATTTTTAATTTGGTTTTTTTTTTAATGTTGAGTTATATGAGTTCTTTGTATATTTTGGATATTAACCCTTTGTCAGATATATTGTTTGTGAATATCTTCTCCCATACCATGTTTTGGTCTTCTTTTCACTTTTTTGTTGCTAGTTTCCATTGCTATACAAAAGCTCTTTAGTTTGATGTAGTCCCATTTGTTTATTTTTGCTTTTGTTTCCCTTGCCTGAAGAGACATATCCAAAAAAATATTGCTAAGACTGATGTCAAAGAGCACACTGCTTGAGTTTTCTTCTAAGAGGTTTATGGTTTCAGGTCTTACATTTAAGTCTTCATTCATTTGGAATTTATTTTTGTATATGGTATGAGAAAGGAGAAAGTAGTCCAGTTTGAATCTTTTGCATGTACAGCCGTACAGTTTTCCTAATACTATTTATTGAAGAGACTTTTACTCATTGTATAGTCTCATCTCCTTTGTTGTAGATTGATTGATCATGTAAGTGTGTGTTCATTTCTGCATTCTCTGTTCTGTTCCATTGATCTGTGTGTCTTTTTTTTAAATTTATTTATTTAATTAATTTATTTTTGTCTGCATTGGGTCTTTGTTGCGGTACGTGGGCTTCTCATTGCGGAGGCTTCTCTTTGTTTCGGAGCACGGGCTCTAGGCATGCGGGCTTCAGTAGTTGTGGTGTGTGGGCTCAGTAGTTGTGGCACACGGGCTCTAGAGCACAGGCTCAGTAGTTGTGGCACACAGGCTTAGATGCTCCGCGGCATGTGGGATCTTCCTGGACCAGGGCTTGAACCCATGTTCACTGCATTAGCAGATGGATTCTTACCCACTGCGCCACCAGGGAAGCCCCTGTGTGTCTGTTTTGGTGTACTGTTTTGGTTAGTATAGTTTTGTAGTATAGTTTGAAATCAGGGAGCATGATACCTTCAGTTTTATTCTTCAGGATTGTTTTTGCTATTCAGGGTCTTTTGTGTTTCCATTACAAATTTTAGAATTATTTGTCCTAGTTCTGTGAAAAATTCCCTTGGTATTTTGATAGGGATTGCACCGAATTTGTAAAATGCCTTAGGCTGGAATGGTCATTTTAACAATACAGTAAGTCCTCTACATATGAACCTTCAAGTTGCAAACTTTCAAAGATGCGAACATGTATTCAAATGTCCGATCACATAAGGTAGTTCACGTGTCTGGCATACATTGTCACGTGCATGCATCCTCTACGAGTGGTTCTGCTTTTGTGTACTTTTCTGTACAGTACTCTGTACAGTACAGTAGTAC